ATATTGATCGGTTGCATGATCGGTCCGGTCAAGCAAGGCGATGATATAAGCGGATTAGTCATCTCACGCGGCCACAGAATGGAAATGCATTCCTGCTATAGCGTCCACTTATTTACCATGCATCAATTCCACGTGTTGGCCCACATCGTTTTCTCTATCGTTGCCTTCAAGAGGAATACATATAAGATCCACGCCCTTTTCGCCTGCCTCTAGTAGCGGCTCGTTTTTGATGATATGCGCACGTTGTTCTGTCAATATCCCGCCTGGCTTAAGAAGAGGTGATCCGTTTAATGGTAGCAAAATATATTGTTTAGTGCGATTTCGTAGTCTCACGGTGGTGATAAAATGGCAGGCAGTGCAACGAAGAACCTAATATTAGCTAGTAAGGAACTGGCCATCTGAAAAGCAATCTTTATATACTCACTTTATACCCCTTCTCCTTCATCTCTTTCTTCAACAAACTTAAGTGCTCCATTAATGAAGCTCCTCCATATGCCCAACCAAGATCAATTCCATCCTCTGAGCGTAGTATTTTCCTGCTATTCTTATCGTCTTTCTTGACATCAGCTCCTAGGTAGTTGATGACCTCTTCGGTACTTTGCTATAGTTTAATAATTGTCACTTGTGATATAGTCACAAAGAAAAAAACCTATCAGAATAAATACTGTAAGTAGATTCGCCAGTTAGAAAGTTATGAAATACGTACAGAGGATGAATTGAGAAATAGAAGCGAAAAATCCCCCTGTTTTTGGACAGGGACGAGGTTAAGTGAGGGGAAAAGGTGGGGTTTTCATTCAGTAAAGACAGGTATCACATGGTATTATGCTGGGTAACGTAACCGGACAACCAAGCAGCGTGACCTCGTCATGTTCTACACCTAGTCAGTTAGCTAGTGGGAAGCCTTTAATACGATCAAGTCATTGGCCATTTCCATCTTGTTTTACACCTCCTAGGTTAGCCATATAGTTGGTGACCGCGACTGAGCTCTGAGGGCGTCCAGGAAGGTGACCTACAACCGTGTCCTACAGTTACTCCGTATTATCGTCATGCCAGATCGAGGGAACTTCTAGTCGATTCTAAGGGATCATAACGATGAGTGTTCCGATTTTCTTCTCTAGAGAAGGGAACGGTAGATCCAAAATCCAGAAGACAGTAGACCACACGCTACACATGGGCTAATGGTGGCATGCATGGATAACTGAATTTAGCAACCGTCATTTGTATAAATGGAAGAAAAGGCGTTCACAAATGCTATGTATAGCATGAGGTCAACGAGGTACCTCTATCATACCCATACCACTCGTATCAGCACATCTAAAGACACCTCTACTCGATAGTAAAGGTATCCTCCTCACGAATATCCCGACTCGAGCTGCCCACGTACACCGTGAACTCTCCACTGGGAACCACCCACTTTTGCAGAGCCACATTCCAGTAGCTCAAGTCACGTCTAGTTAGCTCAAAGCTAGCTTGAGCTGATTGCCCCGGGCTGAGATCAAGCTTGTCGAACCCTCTGAGTTGCTTCGGGGGAGTGGTGGGTGCCGAGTCTGGCAGACCCAGGTATAACTGAGCCACCTCCGCTCCGTCAGTTTCCCCGTCATTGGTCACAATAACGGAGACTGTGCCAACGGACTCAAACAGGTCAACTGGACCCCCGGGAACGATCTCCCCTGTGGCGGGACCTGACGTGGTGAAGACGCTCACGGCCAAGTTGTCATATTCGAATGTTGTGTAGGATAGACCGAAGCCGAATTCATAGCGTGGCTCGATATCGTTCTGATCGAAATGGCGGTAGTCAACAAATATGTCCTCGGTGAAATCGTCATTCAGGCTATCGGTCCAGCGAGCGCCGTAGTCGGCAAATTCCTTGGCAATGGTGTAGGGCAGCTTGCCGCTTGGGGAAGTGTCACCATACAGGACGTCGACCAAGGCATTTCCACTCTCTTGACCAGGTAGACCGGCCCAGACAATGGCCTTGACCGAAGGTTGCTCCAGGATAGTCTCCAAGAGGATTGGTCCAACGCTGTGGGCGACAACTATCACGTTGTCACTGGCATCGGCTGCCGCCTTGACGAGCTCGTTGCCGTTGTGCCATGGGTTGAGGTGATTACGGTCTCCGGCGTTGCCCTCCACGGTGATGTATCCCTCACCTGCATCGGAGGTTATGAACACAATTGCCGTGTCAGCTTTAGCAGCAGCAGAAGCAGCAGCGGCGGTGTCGTCAGTAGTACTAGGAATGATCGTGGTGCCATCTTGCGCGGCTTGCTCCTTAATCGCGTCCAGAGGGGCGATGAGATACTAGAGTCCGTGTGTTAGAAACATGACCGAAAACAAGTAAAAGGGATTAAACGCACGGGAAACTCCGAAGTTCCACTTCCCCAGCCCATAGCCAATGTGCCCTTGTTGCAGCCACGGTCGCTGCAGGCATTGGCTCCGTCAGGGTTTACAATCGCATCTTGACCGATGATAGCCAAGCTGCCGGGCGCTTTCAAGGGGAGCACCTCATCGTCATTCTTAAGCAAAACAATCGAATCACGAGCGACAGCGCGTGCGATCGAGCCATGGTCCTTCGTCACGTCAACGCTCGCCTTGCCGCCGTTCCACGAGCTGAATGCGACCTCCGGGTAACCCTGATCCTGGCCGACAAGATACCATCCAGCCAGAATACGAGTGACCATATCATTGAGACGCGACTCGGCCACACTACCGTTGGCAACTGCAGCCTCAAGATTCTTACCCCAGAAAATGTTGCCCCGCGGAGAGTTGAAGTCACTTCCCGGCATGGTCATGTCGAGCCCAGAAACGGCGCTGTTGATGGTAGTATGTTGCGCATTCCAATCAGACAGCACATGCCCGGGGAAGCCCAACTCTTCCTTTAACAGTTTATTCAAAATCGCGTCGCTCTCACAAGCCCAGCTTCCATTCACCTTGTTGTAGGAGCACATCACGGAGGCAACATTGGCTTTGATGGCATCCATGAACGGCCAAGCATAGAGCTCATGCGTGGCACGGTCAGGCATATTGGAGCTAATTGTCTCACGATTATGTTCCTGCTCATTACCAAGCCAATGCTATTTGCCCAAGAATGTAAGCCTCAGCAGTAGGTCTCAGCGAACACGCGCGGGGTCAAACAACGATACATACCTTGGCACAGGCCTGGACCCCCGATTCCTGCATGCCGAGAATCGTTTCTTCCATCCCCACACCGGTGAGGTAAGGGTCGACCGAGAACCCCTCCCAGTTTCTTCCTCCGTCGGGGTTCTTCCCAAGCGGACCCGTCGCCGGGCCCAGCTGCACGTGAACCCCCAAGCCCTTGGCCTCCGCACCCATCGCCGCCCCACGGGCGTGCATCAGGCTGCGATCCCACGTCGCTCCTGCATTGATGCCCGCGGGGAAAGCGGTCACCGGGTTCGCGAACCGAATACCCAGAGGTCCATCTTGGAGACAGAGCGAGGGGTAGTCGATTGAATTGGGGGCGTAGGTGTTGCCGACACAGGGACCACCTTCCCAGGTCACACCGGTTACGATTCCAACTTTTTCGGATCGACTGAGCTTCTCGAGATCGGTTTTGGCTTGCGTATATGCCTGGTCCCAGTTCGTAACGGCTGCGAGGGAAGTTGGCGCAGCCAGCGCGGAGGCTAGGAGCGTAAGGACGAATTGCTGCATAGTGAAGAACGCAGGTGCTGGAAGGCAATCATCAGGCGAAGGAGGATTCACCGAGTTTAAAAGAATTCATCTCAGGGGACTGCCAGAGAGAGGGGTAAGGATGACCCCGGCTTTGTGCAAACCCCCTTGCACTTTCCCCGCGAATATTTCAATAGTCGGTACCTGTGAGCCGTGTTTTCTTGGCTAATGGGCTGATGGACACGGGGATACGTTACACAGGTGGTAGTCAGGCTGCTCTTTAGTGCCTTTTAGCTTAATTAGGGTCAACTTGGCGACGGAGAGGGAAGAGGGCTTATTGGTGGGCATATCCGGGGGAAATGGACGATTGGCTCGGCTTCCTGTTTGGTCACGGGCTCGGCAATTATTGCTGATCTTATTAGTCTGCTAGGTTAACATTTAGCCAGAACCTTTAATCATGCCAACTTTGGTGACAATACCAACTTCAAAACAAAGGGAGAATAGGCTGAAAGGAAAATGAATTGAGGAGACGTGCATGTTCAATGCACTCGGTATACCCATGAGAAAGAAAGCCATGTTTCATCAAAGGTAGACCCGGCTGCCGGCCGCAGTAGCGACCAGTATCACCAAAAGTGTCCCCAAGTCTGCGGTGATCATTAACGCTCCACACGACGAAAAGTTGCATCTCGTTGAGTGTGATTCCGATAGTTGCCTCGTGATCCGTACCAATTGTCCCAAGAAATGCCAGGAGGAGGTCTATCATAAGCGGCCTGCCGGTCCGCTTGCCGCTGACGAGCTTCACGCTGGATTTGAAGATCACGCTGTGACATACCGCTCGCGAAAAGACCAGATCCGCGCTGCCGTGCGTTCGGGTAAAGGTAAGACCTGTTGTACATGTCCTGGTAGTCGTGGTTAACATTCTTTGACGCTCGTCGCAAGCCCCAGAATGCCGTCCAGATCCAGGAAGACCGCCCGTGTAGTTGTTAGAGGCCCTGCCGTCATAGTATCCACGATATGGATCGTAGTAGGCATTACGGGCAGCCGCCTGCCGGAGACGGCAATCGCCAGAAGAACCGCCGCTATGCCCTTGGTCACGGGAGCTGGACCCATAGTAGTTGTTGCTGCCCTGGTTTCGCGAACCACTGGAGCCTGAACCATAATAGTTTTCATAAGCAGTGCCGGAGTAGTCTCGTCGGCTATCTCTGCTATAGCCTCCCGAATAGTAGTCGTCACTTGATCCATTTCCTGAACCACGGCCGGACTGACCACGGCCTGATTCACGACGACGACCGCCGCCCTGACGATAATACCTGTTAGAAAGCTTGAACTTTGATACTCAGTGGATTCAAATCGTAGAGACAGCGCCATTGAGAGCATTGATGCTGAAAGAACTTTCTAATTGACCAATCAGAGTTAAAAGGTGCACTTATATCCAATCGATGTTGTTGATTCGGAGTGCATACCCGGTACGTGTCTGACAATCCATTGATTAATCCGTTCAAATAAAGTGGGAAATCGCGATTTTCAATAATCCATGCTGAAAATCGATCTACAGTAGAGGGAATTACCATGCTCCGACGCCTCTCTTTCCGGAAGTCGGAGCTACACATATCATGTTTGAATCGTGCCCTGGGGCTAGATTTTTTGACATTACTAAACTATCCTTATCTGTCGATATTACCAGGGAGTGGCAATTTTGATAGAATAGCAAACGGATCAGAATGAGTTTGACGTGCTAATAGTTCAACAACTTATTCAATTTCATTTAGTTGTGTGATCCAGCTTATCAAAAAAAGTAATATTGAGATGGGTACAGAATGAGATAAAAAAGTGTAGGGTGGATAGAGCGCTTGAATTTCTACGGAGGCTCGAAACATGATGCTATGTAAAACTGCAAGATTCAGCATTGATTAGATGCTAATACTATCTACTATTAGTAGGTAGTCGGAGACCAGATGGTGACCGTACAATACGCAGAATAGACTTTTTTGAAGGGCAGGTGTTGACAAGGTTTTGTCTACTGAATCTGTGTATGGGTATGTAGAGATAAGATAGACTTTTTTGGGTTATTTTATTTTATTCAAAGGGAAAAAGAAAAGAAAAGACCTGGAAGTTTGCCAGTCCATCGCAATTTAATTGATGACCAAAGAAGCTCAAAGTGGAGAACAAGTTGAAAACTCTAAGAAAGAAAGTAAGAAAGAAAGTAAGAAAGAAAGTAAGAAAGAAAGTAAGAAAGAAAGTAAGAAAGAAAGAATTCAAACTAAAATATGTAACACGAAGCAAAATAATGACAACAGATATCAAACTTGTCATTCTGAAACCATTGTACCGCAAGACCAAACAATTATTTTAAAACATTAATCTCTGAAATAAAAATGGAAACCGTGATTCAAGACCACTAAAGAAAATAGGATTTTTTTTCCCGGTCAATTCGAGACCGTATTTCAACCAATGCCTTGTTTCAGCATCAATAAATCACTGCTCCACTTCATAAACCCTTACTACTGCTGATTGCAACCTTTGCGCGGCGGCTTCTTAGTAGAAGCACCTTGCTCAGAGGTCTTCGGACGGTTCGAGGAGAGCTGAAAGCCACCACTGTATCTAGGTTTACGGCTAGCTTGCGTAGTGGAGGAGTTGTTAGGACCTGAGGATGAACTGCGACGACCCTGAGTACTCGGCCCAGGCATAGCCGAAGAACGAGCGGTAGAGTGCCCTGCTGCCGAGTTAGGCGGTGGCGGTGGTGGAGCAGTATTGCTCGCATTAGGAGCGGTAGGGGTGGTATAACTGGGCCGCGCAGTTGATGTAGGGCGACTGTGCATGGGGCTAGCAGGATAAATGGAGCTACCGGGATGCATGGAGCTTGAACGGCTAGAGCGAGAGCCAACGCCCATTGGGCTCATTGAGGAAGGACGGCTAGTATGGCTTAACATGGGGCTGACCGAAGAAACGCCTCGAGTTGTCGAATTTGACCTAGAGCTGCATCCAGTTCTCCTGCTCGTGGTGCTGGTTCCAGGAACGCGCGAGGAACTAGTATAGCTAATAGGTCGGGACTGGGGAGGAGTCATTCCGGATGTACCGTTGGCAGCACCATTGTATCGATAGATGTAGTAAGACCCTCGAGTAACCTCAACGTTTCCGAGCGCCGGGCTAGACATGGATGAGCGATGAGTGTTCATGATGACAGACAGATAGTTTGGTTGGTTGGAAGAGCACAAATAAAAAGTTGGGTTCTTTGATTCCTAGAGCCTTGAGGCGCTTATATGTTCTCCAATGAGGGCAAGTTGTTTCACTGCAAAGTCGCTGGTACAGTATTCCTTCGGCAAAATTACCGGCATTTTCCCTTTGGGCAAAATTCTCGCCTCCATCCTCCTCCCAAATCTTGTACCCCGAAGCAACCAGTAGCAACATCCTGGGACGATGGGTGTGCCCACTTATCTTGTAGGATTTATTTTGCCCATATGCCAACCTATCGGGAAGTTCCGATAGAAAGTCATAACAAGAAACGATGTACAGTTCATAAAACAAAGTTATTGGGTGATATTGAGAGAGCGATTACGCCTGTGAGTTGCAGCATAGATTCATTAATTAAGGGATAAAAATCAAATATTATTCTCATACCATCATCATTCCCATGTGCTTTTCATAGGCCTCAAACTTCAGTACGGAGTTTTTACAACGGAATTTTCCGACACAACGATATTGCAATTGCTGGTCAAGGAGGCGATGACAATATTGTCCTCTTAGAGCAGCCTCATGAATACTGCGTAGCTGTATGTGCTATATCAAGAGTTACGTCTAATCAAACCCTATGAGTCGAATTTGACTGATTCAGTGCCGAAAGCCAGCTTATTAGAGAGTCAGATACATTATAAATGACAAGGGTTGAACTGTACAATTGTATGAATTGATCAGAGTAGGCTTCGAGAATTGCAGCACCCTTAGATGAATATCTACTTGAAGCTTGGAAAGCGAATTATCGTAGTTCATCATAGCATTGGGACTAAGAGGATAAAAATAATTCTATAGGCAAAGTACGGGTAATAGTTTTTTGCTTAGAGAACCAATAATATATTGTAAAAAAACAAAAAGTGGGGGGTTTGAATTGCATAAGAATACAAAGAGAATGTGAAAATCAAGAAGAAAATTACAAATCAACAGCATATCTGGCCACTATAGCAAATAGAACAAGGAATCAATCAGTTTTCGAAAATTTATATCTCCGACGCTGGTGTACAGCAGAAACAATAACCAGATTGAAATTAAGAGGACAGTAGAGAAATACAAAAAGTTCCAGTGCCAGGGCAATTTAGGATGCTAGAAGTGAATGGACTTTGCCTGGTCACTTTGCCACTGACCAATGCCCAAACCCTGAGCCCACACAATTCCATTCAAGGAAAGGAACCTAGCATGTGCACTGCTTACTCAAATACCTGGAGTTGGAGGGTAAAATCCAGAACCAATGGGAGTGGTGGGAGTGTATGTGCATGTAGGCCCGGAATACGCTTGCCAATCATCCGGCGGGCCACTATAGCCCGACGGATGGCCTTGTCCTCCTCTCTGCCAATTGATTGGTGGTAGATTCGTATTTGTCGCAGACCAGCCTGTCGATTGGTCACCGAATAGCAGTCCATATTCATTTCTAGGCTGCGGTTTGTAGGTTGGGGGCTGGCGTATGCCGTATCTCCGGAAGCGGTCATTTGGCACATTGTTGGGTGGCATCATAAAGCCCGTGGAAGGGTAATTTGAAGACATGGGTGCCGGAAGTTGGTCGAAAGAAGGGTTGTAGCCAAAGCGTTCGGGATTAGGATTGGGATGCGAAAATATACTTAAAGGAACCATAGGCTGCTGGTGATGGGAAGAAGCCAGTGACCCATTCGAGGAGATCTGGTTATGATCAAAGCTTGGAACTCCATTCGAGGAGAAGAAAATATTCGATTCCTCGGCCGCAGAATAGGCGCCAGGGGACGAGTCAAAAGGGTCGGAGTCAACAGCGTTGGGATCAGTAGAGAGAACACCAGGGAATATTATATTCGATTCCTCGGCCGCAAAATAAGCGCCAGGGGACGAGTCAAAAGGTTCGAAGTCAACAGTATTGGGATCAGTAGAGGGAACATCAGGAAATATAATATCCGATGCCACGGCCGGAATTCGAGAAATACCAGGGGACGAGCTAAGAGGCCCCGAGAAACCAGTATTGGGCTGCCCAGAATCAACGGGAGAAGAAAAAGGTGGCTCCAGATTCTCGGCCTGGTCATCAGAATATGTCATAACTGGACTCACGGGAGTGAAAGTCGGGGAGTCGCCGCCCTGCTGGAACTCGGCAGTAAGCTGAGCCTCATGTGCACCCATTGTAGCACGACGGCGATAATCCTCGAAGCGACCCAACCGAAGACATCTCTGGGTGCTCTGAGTGCCTTGGCTTCCCTGGCTCTCACTGTCATCGGTAGGTGTGTTTGCAGCTGTTGATACTCCCGAATCGGCTTCGCTTGGACTTTCGGCATGGGCTTCTGTGTCAGGGGGGAAATTCAGACCATAATGCTCATGGCACAATGATTCTTCAGGAAATTCGTAGCGTGGGAGTCCGGATGGCGTTGTAGCATTGGGAATTCGGCTACCCTGAGGCATCTGGTTCTCGGTGCGCTGCCAGGAAATTGCCGCCCTGCGGCAATCAATACATGCCGCCAAAAGCATATAATAACAGTCGAGACAGCAGCACTTTGCTAGAAACTCGAGACAATCGCCACAAGGGCAAACCTCTGCCTCCCGGCCCTCACGAATGTGGGCACAGGGATGGCAACGACATAGATCAGGGTGGTTCTCCATGCTGTCAATATTCGAGACGTGAAGTTGGTTTCACACAGCTGACTGTATCTGTTTTAGGGGTTCTTTTTGTTGAAGATGTTCAGTAGAGCTCAATACCACCACACTAGATATCTTGGCGATAAGAAGAGCTGAAACAGCTCTCCAAGAGGGGTATTTATATGAACATGAGGTCTCTGAAGTAACTCATCCAACATAGTGAATCAAAATGATATCTCCATAGAAACTTTATCACAAGTGGGCCCATTTAATCTCTATTGGGTACGTGCCTCTTAGAATGCTGCCCCTGACAAGTGATATATTCCGGATGATACCGAATAAGAACGCCATGAGCCGGAAACTCTTCATATGCACTCCTTAATTTCAACCACCGTTCTATATTCACTCTCCTTCTTCCAGTTGTTAACGAGGAATTCCGTAGATGGCTGTACAACAACAACAACATCATCATCATCATCATCATCATCATCATTTTTTTCACTGCAAAGCATAGTTGTTGGCATATAATCGAAGACAAGTCGATTCAAAAATGACAGCATATTATTGTCCAGGATCTGGAAGATGACAGACTCAGTCGTATTTCTTATTGCTCTTTTATCTCCAAAAAGTGCTCAAGGATAGCACATCAAGCGCTGAAATTTATTGCTCCGGCAGAATTCATACTCACCCAACGGAATAGCAATACCCCTGCGGAAAAACAAAATGGAACAGGAATTAGTACCTCATTGCTCACTTGTGCTTCCAGAATCAACGCTCTCTACTCCAGAGTTAGCAATCATAAGAGCGTCTTGGGGACGAACCTTCACCCCGCCTTAGAAACCCCCTAGTCTAGAATCCCGCTCAAAGTCCCCGATTTCCCCTCATTATAGTCCACTTCCGATGTTGCTTTCCTCAACCTTCCTGGCAGATTGGTCGGGGCGACACGCGGTCAGGAAGGATCCCCCGGGAAATTTATCCGGGTTACCTAATTAGGAAGTCAACGTTCCCCGGGATCCCAGCGAACCCCCACCTCAGGGCTTGAGAAGAGGCACTTATAAAATGGCAAAATTGGCTTTTAAGAAGTCAAATTCAAGTTACTGTTATATTCCTGAACAAGCATAAGGCTTCATGACTACAGAACTCTAACGAGCCAAGTGAGAAAAATCGACAAAATGACAACCACCACGCTTTCATCCGAAATCGCCAAAGAATCTTTGAACCTTCGAGCCTACGGCGGAGAGATCGAGAATGTGAAGCTCTTGACGCCCTTGACGAGCGACACGCCGATTGAGGAACTTCGACGACGGTATCGGGAAGATGGTGTAATCTGGGTATGAGTTTTCCTCCAGTGCCTCCCACTAATCGAAGGCTTTCCACACAACGTGCCTCAACCACAAACTGACCATGACTATGTAATGAACAGATCAAAGACATCATCGACCGAGACCTGGTCAACAAGTGTCGTCGCGAGTACCTCAGCTTCTACTGATCCTACTGCGGGCCTCTGGTGGGAGCGCTACACCAAAGTCAAAAACCGGAAAGGAAAGGTATTGGCTAAGGCATTGCGCCAGGGCCACCGTTCCTGGGTCCGCAAGGCTACCGAATCAGGCCCCTTGAGGCATGTGGAAGGCAGATAAATGGGCAAAGAGCAGGGAGGCCCGCGGAGGCCTTATACCGACGCTGAAGACGGATGGCGGGCTCGTAGAGACCGCAGAACAAAAAGTAGAAGCGTTTCGCAAGGTCTTTTCCCCTAAACCATCCCCGGCCGATCTCTCTGACATCCCTATGGCCCGTATACCCCCCCCCCCCCAGACCGACTTCCCGGACCTCACCGAGCAACGAGGTGCTCCGTTGTACTAGGCGGGCACCTCCCGACAAAGCACAAGGACCGGATGGTATCCCTAACAAGGTCTGGCATTGGCTGGGTGAGGTCTCCTCTTCCTCACTGCACTAAAACAGATATTTAACGCGTGCCTACGTCTTGGACACAACCCGGAATACTTTCAACAATCGACTACTGTAGTACTGCGTAAAGCAGTCCCCCGGGACTATCGCATCGCTAAGACCTACCGACCTATAGTGCTCCTGAATACCCTCGGTAAGATCCTGGAGGCCGTAGCTACGGTACGGATCGCCTGGGCCCTGGAGGAGCGTAATCTCCTACCCAGGAACCATCTAGGGGGCCGCAGGGGCATCTCAGTCGACCACCTGACCCAGTTACTCCTTGACCGGATCTTTGAGAGTTGGGGCAAGGACCGGAAGGTCAGCATGATGCTCCTAGACGTGGCTGGCGCCTTCGACAACGTCTCGCATATACGGCTCCTCCATAATCTACGTATGATAGGGCTCGGCTTCTTCGCCGGCTGGCTCAAGTCCTTCCTATCAAACCGTTCTATAAGGCTGCAGCTCCCCGGATATCTCAGCAACCTTATTTTAATCCCTACCGGGATCCCCCAGGGGTCCCCCATATCGCCGATCCTATTCCTCCTATTCAATACCCCCCTCATTCGCGCCCTATCGATCGACGGTATTGAGGCCCTTCGGATTCAGCCACCCCTCCTAGAGGGAGGCAAGACGGTCTCCTACGGGTGGATTGACGATGTTGCCACCCTGGCCATCTCGGATAGCTACGCGGTCAACCAGCGCCTTCTAGAGAGGGCCCTGGATAAGGCTGCGGTATGGTCAAGGCAGCATTCGTCCAAATTCGCCTCCGATAAGTTCGAACTCATTAATTTCAAGAACCCGCTTCGCCAGGACCCTGTGCTAGAACGATCCGTACCGTCAGCTACAACAAGCTCCAGAAGACGGTCAATGAATTCCAGAGGATTCAAACCCGCGCAGCTGTTCTTATCAGTGGCGCGTTTCGTAACACGGCCTCGGCCGCATTGGTGGCAGAGCTTTACCTCCCCCCTATGCAAATACAGATGCAACAAACCATTCAGGAGGCAGCCATTCGGATCCAAATCGGGCCGGCTATGGCCTGCCCCCGGGGGCTGCGCTGGGAAAGGTCGAAAGAGGCATTCAAGGTCTCCGGATACTCTCCGATGGAAGCGCTGAAGTGGAAGAAAACAGGCCCGCTATATGCGTACGGCAGCAGGCAGGAGGAGTGGGAGACCAGACGGGCTCATGTATTGGCCCCATGGGAGTTGCCCCTGAGGTGCATCACCGAGGGGGCGGAGGAGGCAGTTCAGACCCACGATAGAATCTGCCGCGAGGACCGTCAGATCTGGTATACAGATGGAAGCGGTTATCAGGGGATTATCAGAGCTGCCGCGGTCTCTATTCGAGCAGACAGGGCCGCTGGAAAGTACCTAGGAACGGAACTGGACTCTACGGCCTACGTGAGAGAATTGGAAGGGGCCCAAATGACCCTGGATCGAGCGAAACCCACCCTGATCACGGTCTTCTCAGATAGCCAGGCAGCTATTCAAGCTGTGCGCAACCCTGGCCGGCCATCGGGTCAGTACGCACTGCGGACTATCTACGGGAGGTTTAGGGCCCTGCGGAGCGAGGGCCTGGAGGATATTGAACTACGTTAGATCCCCGCTCACATCGGGGTGGAGGGAAACGAAAAGGCAGACCAAACAGCTAAGGCGGCTGCAATAAAAAGAGTTAAACTAAGCTCAGTAAGGATGCGGGACCGACCAAATATACGACTTGCAGCTGCAGCTAAAAAAGATACGCACCAACGCCTGCGTACGGAGTGAGCAAAGCAGTAGGAAAGACAAAAAGTAGGCAGGCCGACGAGGCAGCTGCTGTCTAAACCAGACAAGAAGAATTTACGGCTCTACGAGCATCTCAGTAAACTGCACACCTCGATTATTATTCAGATGCGCACTATGAGGATAGGATTAAGGCACTTCCTCTACAAGATCAAACAGGTCGACTCCGATCAGTGCGCCTGTGACCTAGGGCCCCAGACCCCTAGGCACGTCCTTCTGGAGTGCTCGCTGCACACGGCCGGCAGGAGGATAATGATGGATCACCCCAATCAGATAGAGGGACTGCGTGGGCATATACAGCATTATGACGCTGTTATAGCACACCCGCAGGCGATCCGCTACGTCGCCGAATTTATGCAACAAACAGGCCTCTTTCAACAATTCCGATTCGCTCGACTGGACGAGGAGGACGATGGTTACATGGAACTTTAGGGGGCGGCCTGGGTCAGGCCGCTACTAGTGACGCATACCACTCACGAACCACCTATATAGAACGAGGCGGAAGGAGAGACAGCGTCAGGAGACGTAGTGGGCTGCGGCAGACGGGCAACAGCTGGTTTAGTTGCGTTATTTTATGATTTATCTACTGCGTTTGTGAGTTTATATGGCGTAAGGGCTCGAGATTCTGCTTCATTCGGCGAAGCGCCTGCATAGCCTGTCGTTTCAATAGATAGGCTCCACCAGGTTAATAGAATATTGATTGATTGGTTGATTGATTGAGTACCGCAGCTTCGTCAACCAAGGATCCGGAATGTTAAAACCCGACACCGATCCAGAGGAGGGCATCTTCTCCGGCGCGGATTGGCGCGACTTCGTTCTCCCCGGCGGTGTCCGTCTAGCCATGGGCTTTGAAGATAAAGGGCCGTTTTTTGACAACGCGATCAATAGCCACGTGGCGCCGTTCTATCTTGCATTCAAAGACGAAGTGGCCCAACAGGTGGAACCGTTCGTCAGGGAGCTTTGCGGATTCGAGGACCCGTGGTGTTTGCCTTGTTTGTTGTTGAGATGCGCAGTTCCGGGAGCCGAGTCGTCGCCTGTGCATTACGATCAGATCTTCCTCCGCACGGCACCGCCGACTAGTATCACTGCTTGGGTGCCGATCGGGGATACTGAGAGAAAAGGAGGCGGATTGATCTATCTGCACCGGTCGCATGATCTGGGAAAGCAGTATGAGGATGATTTCACGCGTCTGAATGCGAATCTTACCGATGCGCAAAAGATTTCGGCAGTCAATCAGAGTATGAACAAGGGTGGGTGGCTTGATCGGAACTCGTCACAGTTTGGAAAGAACTGGGGTCGGGAGTGGTTTGTGGTGAGTGTTTGATGAACAACATCTCAATCGAGCATTTGCTAACAAACGTTTAGGGCGAGTATGAGGCTGGTGATATCGTGTTTCATACCCCATACATGATCCATGCTGGCGCCATGAATGAGTCGGAAAAGGGTCGGGTTCGAGTATCAGCCGACCTTCGCTTTGTAGACAAACGCCAGCCGTTCGATGAACGATGGACAATGGCAGCCTTCAGCGAGGAAGACCCCAATCTGGCTCGCAAGATTGAGAGACGTAAATAGCCGACCATCGCGCAATGATATGGTGTTCGAACAATGTACCTAACACAAATTATAAGATCACAATACAATCATTGATGTTCTCATCCCTTGTAACAGTATTCTCAGTGCTTGCGAACGACCTTCTCCGCACTTGGCCCACTGCAGTCACATACATAGCCATGCAGGAAGCTAGGGAAAAAGGGTTGGGGAAAGCGACCTACCATATTAGGAAATCCGGGTCGTCCGGGTCGATTTCCAAAAGCGGATTCCGGGGAAGTATGAGGGGTCGAGTCTGGGGAAGTCTGGGGTAGACGTGGTCACCAATTTCGCTCCCATCTCTCGACATAAGTATGTCGCAGGGCCCGTCCTGAATGCCAGAGATTATAATACATACCTTATATCACATCATGGATAACAAGCAGGATCTCAGCCCGTCGCACTCGCATAATGAAGAAGTCCTTCACAAGTCCGATTGTCTTGATGAGGATCAAGCCAACGCGGCAATGCCAGATACCCTGAGGGCACTCACACCAGAAGAATATAAAAGACCAGGTTTCAGGGCGACATTGAAGATGAATATTTTGATATTCCCCTGTCTGATGCTCATGTATATCCTCAACTACCTGGATCGTAACAACAACTTGCACGAACGGCCCTTCAATTTCACCTGCAATGTGGACGTTTCATGTTCAAGATACTGGCAGTCTGTAACATGGTCCCCAAATTCCCGACTTACCCTTAGTTTTAATGGCCTGTAGTTACCAATACAACGTTGAACGTCTGGCAGATGGGAGAGGAGCTGTTGTGTAATCGGACCCCTTGCGTGTTAGGTTAGTTCAAGCCCTGTTCGTCAAACATGCCTTGTCCAAGGGTACGGCCATTGCGTGAGCAGTGATTGACAGGCCAGCGGCTCTAAAGCGCTCAATTGGTGTAGCAACTTGTATGTCTCAGTAGGGGCTGGCATGGATGACAGACAAGCCCGCAGGAAGGAAGGATATCCGCTGGGGGGAAAGTGTTCTTTTTCAACGTAAATTCACTGGGTTTTGTTGCTCTCCCTCTGGCATTTACTTCTTTCCTGATTTGAGACCACCCCTTAATTCGAACACTTTTATTTTTGGATAAAGCTAAAATGATGGCCTTTTGATTTATGTCGTACCTACGGAAAAGAAAGAGTGCAGACATCATAGCTTATTGAGGTAAGTCAATTGAGAAACATCTTAATGTTGCGCCGTACAATACACTTCCCCGCCGCAAATAGGTACATTGAGCAGGTCAGCAAGGGACCAGTGTCTATTATCAACAGGTCTTTCAGTTCTTTACTAATTTGGGTTGGAATCGGCGTCAATCCCAGAGATTAATCGACAATTGCTTGGCAGAACTGGCTCCTGCGGACCGCCATTGCAATCAATTGCTCAAGGGCCATATTCCCCGTCAAATCAAACACATCGATAGAAGCACCGATCTCTCGATTAAACCAGTTTCTCAGGTCGATCGCGACTAGAGAATCGACACCGTACGTATGAACCGGCTTCGTAAGATCAAGTTCAGACACTGGAACGCCTAGGATCAAGCTGAGCTTTGTGCATGTCCATTCGGTCACTAATTGCATCGCGTCTTTGCTTGATGTCACCAGCTTCAGCGCAGCCGGTCGGTCAATGGTCCCGGCAGTGGCACCGGCACCGGCGCTAGAGTCTGTTTCAGCCCCGCGAAGCTGTACGCGGAATAGATGGCTGAAGAGGGGCCGGCGCATAAAGTGATGAAGCTCGAAGCCGTTCGCGATCATTTCCGCTGGCAATTTGATCCCTACAATGGCCTGCGCCTGGTCAGGTGTGAGAGTTGGAAGGTCAGGATTGCAGTAGTGGTCTAAAATAGTAAGTAGTTCCTCGTGTGTGATCTCCATTAGATGACCGAATCGGCGCACAAACGCCATAATGACTGGGCTCTCAGCAACAACACCCTCGGTGATTAATGAGCCAAGGTCTAGCGACACTGCTTTTTGGCCGTTTCGCAGCCTATGCTCAGCTAGTGCGTCGTTAAAAGTGTTGCCGGCCGCGTAGTTGGCCTGGCCCGGGCTGCCAAAGACGCCATTGACGGATGATGAGAGAATCATGAAGTCTAGGTCCGAGGGGAGGGCCTTATGGAGGTTCCAGGAACCGGCCACTTTGGCCTTAAGGGGCGTGATCCAGTCGTCGTATTGCATATTGGAAAACAGACCATCCTATGATTGCGCGGTCAGGGTCTGAAAGTCTAGTGTTGTTAGGCGCGGCAGAGAACACATACACGTAAATCAAGCGTTGCTTGAATACAACCTCGTATTGGAGGCATTGCTTGAGAAAGATCATCGAGCACCTTCTTTACACTTTTAAAGTCACTAATGTCAACTTTAGGCGTAACAACTGAGACACCCTGTGACTTAAGATCGTTGACGAGCTCCCGGGCAGCAGTAGTCTTCGGGCCCGAGCGAGAAAGGAGAATTAGATGACGAACTCCCCTACTAGCCATCCATCTGGCAGAGCTCCGGCCGAGCCCACCAAGTCCCCCAGCTATGATATAAGAGGCACGGGACTCAAAATAATACTTAGGTCTAGAGGCACAGGTTACCTAGATACTGTTAGAATAGGGATGGCTGAGTGCTGTCAGAACGTACTTCAATGGTCTCCCCGTCCGTCAGCTCTATAACTCGCTTTCCAACACTTTCTCTGTCTCGGAAATGCTGCAAAGCAGAATCCACTTCGGCTGCGGAGAAAGAGTTCAGAGGCAGCGGGTAATTCAGGCTAAGCTGATACCAAAGCTTCACAGCTTGCTGGAAGCTTCGATAAACCAAGGCTGGGTTGTGCCGAAGAAGCTCCGCTAGATTGACTGACGAGTAAGAGCAATTAACTCCTCGATTTTTGAGCTGAGGAATAGAAGCCTTATCGCTCTTTTTCAAGCTGGTATCAACAACACGACCACCGGCAGCGAGCCATTCCGAGTAATCCGGGGTATTCTTATCTGACAGCGAACCGACTACCACATCCACGCCTTGCCCTTTTGTTATCGCATGTATTCTTCCACACGTAGAAGAATCGTCGGAGACAAAGATGATATTCTGGGAAATATCCAGTTTCTGGCAAAGAAGATCTCGCTTCGAGACAGAGCGTGTAGTAACTAGGACGCGCGCACCGAGTTTCACAGCGAGTTGGATTGCGACCTGACTAAACGAGCTGCCAAATCCGTGAACCAGCACTGTCTCGCTTTCGTCTAGTCTCGCAACAGTGCATAAGGTGTAATACGCTAGCCAAAGTGCTGTGGGTAAGGATGATGCGGTTGCAAATGACACGCGGGAGGGAATCGGAGCTATAGCACCTGCTGTTACACGTATAACTGAGCGTGCCATTGACAATCCGATAGCGCACACACGGTCTCCCGGTTGAAACTGTACGTCAGTCCCGGCCTTGAATACGACGCCGGCACATTCTGTGCCCAGCCCGTATTCATTGAGCTCTCCGGTCGCAATAAGATGATCCCGGAATGTCAGGCCAAACGCCTTAACCTGTACAATCACCTCATTTGGCCCAAGGTCGAGTTGGGTCAACGTGTCCTCCACATACTCCAAGTTGTCGATACCTCCTGGAGAGCGTACCCTGAGAAATACATGAGTGTCAGGGTCCAGTGTCTGGTTTTCTTTCACGTGCGGCTGAGCATTCAAAGCAATAGATTCGCTCATCAACCTATCTAATGTAATGCGAGGGACACATAAAAGATCGTTTTTGACGGCATAATTTGTCTCAAGGGATTCAACAGTAGACCTTTGGATGTTTGTAATAAGCTGCAGGATATATTCTGTTGATCGTCGTACGGTATTAGATTGGTTGAGCGCGAGAGTCACCAACTTTCGATTCGAGTCTTCAGAACCTAAGCTGCGAGCAAGACCATCTACCATATGCTGCCGCGGGATTTGCTCGTCTTCAGTTGGTTGAGTAATCCACAGGGTACTGTGCGTCCTTAAAAGTACTGACTGCAACAATTCGAAATCCTGGGGCGAGATCCCATCTAGTAGCACATCCCGGACTTCAAGAAGAAACACAACAACTGTAGATGTCGGAATTTCGACATCGGCCATTTCTGCTAGTGTGTATATTGATGAGACCTGTTCATTTTGCACCGACTGCACAAGTTCGTTCTGGGCTGCAATGTTGCCGTTTCGGACGAGGTAAAGATCATGCGAGGGCTCAGCAAGTCTGTCTTGCTCAGGCACTGCGGTAGATATCATGATACTGCTATACCTCCGTCGCGCATTCTCCTGTCCTGGAACCTCAATATCGACACCAGAGAAGCCGGTTGACTTCAGAAGCTTGTTCCACTGATCGACTGTGATGCACGGACTCAGAGGCGATCGAGGCTCGCTTTCTAGAGGAGCCCACCAGCTCTGAAGAAGGCCGAACACGAATCCAACGTCAATGGCATCAACATTGGTGGTCTCTAGCAATATGAGCTTCCCTCCAGGCTTCAGAAGTCGACGGGTGTTTTGTAATGTCTGTTCTAGAATCGGCGTAGCATGGAGAACATGAGATGCAATAACAAGATCATAGCTAAATGGTTCAAAGGACTGAGAGACTGGATCTTTGGAGATGTCACAGACGGAATAATCTAAAATATCATCGTACTTGGCAAACTTTGTGCGCGCACGCGGGAAAAAGGCGCGGGAAATATCAGTGTAATCATATCGGGCACATTTCTTGACATCATTTGAGCAAAGGGCCTTAAGGGTGCCCACCGTTTGGCCCCCGGTCCCAGCGCCGATTTCAATAATGCGCATAGTAGGGTTTTTGAAGCATAGATGCTCTACCAAGGCCGAAATGGGATGTGAATCATGGGCATTTGCAAGCACAGTTTCGTAAAATTGGTCGAACAAGCCGCTCTCAAACATAACATCCAGCACTTCAGCGTCGCCGGACAAAATAGAAAGCAGGTTGTGACCGACTTGCATATAGAACTGACCATCTTGTCCAGCGGTCTGCACCCGCAACTCTAGTTCTTTTCGTGCCTCTAGGTCTGACAGCAGACGACTGGCCTCTGCCTGAGACGCTTCCGTGTGGCGCAATTGAAGCTGGTGTTTCATCCATGTGACATACTGTTGGAGATAGTTCGGCACTGACACGGACCGGTTGCTTTCCAGAAAAGACACTGCTTCCTCTAGAAAGCACAAAATCGCTAGTTCCAATAGCTCACACTTTCGTGTAGTATCGACCGGCTCTTTTGGCCTGTCGCGGCACATTTCGTCTCTTAATTGCTCATGATTGATCAGGTCAGTATCAGGCTTCCAGATTAGCTTTGTACACAGGTCACGCGGAGGGCCTTCATTTTCTAAGGCAGTGCCAACTAATGTGGTTTGGAGGCCCTGCATAGACAGCACTGGGTCACTGGATCCGATAGTTGTCGCCAGAAGATCGGCCGTTGCTCCGCGCGGGCCTTGCATTTTGCACTTTGCTAGCACTTGCAGAGTGTCGAGTTTGGGGGATGCCAGGCAAGGGAAACTAATCCATATATCATTAGCGCGAGCTGCAACCATCGTCGACAGTGATTGCCATGCGGTCAGTGTTGGAAAGATAACCTGCGCCAGTCCATCTATAACACAGGGGTGCATGGCATATTCCTGGGCCCACTGATCGCTCTCTGTATTTGTGGCCCAGGTGTCCATTTTCAACATTGCTGTCGCTTCGCCTTCAGGTCCAACCCGCATATTTTCAAGGTTCTGGAAGCAAGGACCATATTGAACGGCGGTGCCTGATGTGTCATACGGGTCTCGCGGCGCCTTAGCAGAGCGATTGATATCATTCATCCAGCCCTGCACTGCTTCCCTAGACATGCCAGGAATATGATATATCATGTTCTCCTGATTAAAGTGCACACCCTGGACTGACCCCCGGCAGCATTCTATATAGTGGCCGTTTTCTATGGCAAAGAGCCTGAATTGCCACCAGGTAGAGATATCTGGGCTCCGCGACTCCGTGGACAAGGTGAATTGAGTTTCAATCTCTGGACGCACCGGTGGAAACTTCATCGCGTGCATAAAGTCTACATCGTGTAGGTGAATCCCAGTTAGGCCGGTCGGAGAACCCAGCACCTGTCGAAGCGCCTCTACGGCCATGACTACCATAGCCGCGGCAGGCAGGACGATCTCATCACCAATACGGTGGTCCGAAGCCCACGAGAGATCTCTCAGACGCATGACGTTCCGCCACTGCGCGAGCTGTGGATTCCAGTCAAGGCTACGCGTGCCTAGTAAATCGTGGCGGGGTGTTTCACGGAACCGAAAATTCTGACTGAGGCGACTCTCCTTCCAGTAGGACTGTGTGTGGTTGAATGGATATTTCACCATGTTGGGAGGGCATTGGCGAGGCGTCCTGCCAATGGCGTTGGCTGCGAGGACGTCGACGGGAAATCCCTCACAATAGAGTCTTCCGAGAGCACTAAGGAGCGAAAAGAAAGAGTCCTCTTTGCGATCAAGCAGCGAGATATACCTTGGCTTTTCCACCATTGTTGATTGGCGTAGTATCTCATTTATGGGCGCTTTTAGCGTGCTATGTGGACCAATCTCCAGGAGATGTGAGATGGAATTGTCCAGCATGCCGTTTCGCGATGGTTTTTCCGGTCTTGTAAAAGTCAAAGAAAAGACCTTTGATAGAGCTGCGTCAAACTCAACCGTGGATACGAGATTGTTCACCCAGTAATCTGCAGTCTGCAATATATTTCCCGTCATTATCGCCCCATTCACGGAAGATACCATTGGAATGATGTTAGAACGGTTCCCGGCTTCCAGGTCTCCTATCGCCACGCGGTATTCATCTGCAATTTCGCCCATCATATTCGAGTGATAAGCGATAGGCATCTTGAGTCGGCGCACGAACACGTTGCTTTCTTGGAACAATTGCTCCAAGATCTTCAATTGCCTCGTCTCCCCACTAAGAGTGATACTTCTAGGGCTGTTGACGCACGCAATCCCAACGCGAAGTGTATTGTCAAACTCCTTTAATCGACTGAAATAATCGGCGACATCATGTCTCGATATTCCCACTGCCATCATAGATAGCCCAACTTTACGTTTAGCCAGCTGCGCCGACAGCATGCCACGAAAATAGGCTACTTTCACGGCCGAAGAGCGAGAAATCCCTCCAGCAGCATAAGCAGCACATATCTCGCCGGATGAATGACCTAAGACGACAGTCGGGAAGACACCAAGGGCGCGTAGCGTATCTACCAGCGCCATTTGAAGACTCGTGGTCAGCGCCTGGCTGTATTCTGGCGAGTTGATGGGAACATCCTCCATGTCACTTTCTAACATGGATGATAGGCTCCACGGGCAGTTCAATTCTTTCAAGCATTTCTCCAGGAGCCGAATCGAGTCCCGGAAGACAGGTAAATGAGAGAGCCCTCTTCCCATACAGGAATACTCAGAACCTTGGCCAGTGAAAACAAATGCCACCTGGTGATTGGCGTGCACTTTTGTAGGCGCAGAAACTGTGCTCCCTTCGACGTGCGCAGAGCTACCAGGATAAAGAACTCGGAACAGCCTCCATTGAAACTGAGTTCTTTTTCTGCTTAGAGTGTAGGCGAGATCATCGAGCTCAAAGGGACCTTCCATATCATAGTCTCTGGCAACGATCGCCAGACTCCGAGCAGCCACTATATCAGCGGCGGACCAAACAAGAAGTCTTGGGCGTTCTTTAACGGGCGGATAGCTATTTATATCGGTCTTCGGAGCTAGGTTATCGCTGTTAAAATCTATATGAGAGGTGTTGGTAATCGCAGTGTTGACAGAGTCCGAAGAGAAAAGGGATGGGTCAGCGCAAGTTTGATGCAATCCGCGAATTCCGTTGAGCTTGAGATAGTGGTAGGCATCATCAAGAATCGCTACAGCGTTCGTCCCTCCGAATCCAAACGAGTTGACCTAAAGGATGCGACTCAATAAGACAACCACAGATCCGCGAAGCCAATGAACTTACGCATGCTCGACGAAGACCGACAGAGGGCCAAGGGATCGCTTTGGTAGGGAACTGGTGCATGTTAAACGTTGGTTATCAAATTGATCCAGTGGACTACTAACATGCAGGCGTAGCTCATCCGGGTTTATTTGCAGATTGAGGCTCTTGAGCTTGGCAATCGGTGGTATCACGCCATGCTCTAGAACCAAGACCGTTTTTATGAGTCCAGCCAAACCACTTGCTCCTTCAAGATGGCCAATATTTGCCTTAACAGCGCCAACAAAGACCGGATCGTCTGCACTTCTAGAGTCTCGAAATGCATACCCAATGGCGTTCGCTTCAATTGGATCTCCGACTGCTGTACCGGTGCCGTGCGCCTCGAAGAAGCGCGTGGGTCCCATAGGTATCCGCGCTTCTTCATATGTCTGCTTGATCAGATCGACCTGCGCTTGAGGACTAGGCTGCGTGATGCTCGGTGTTCTACCATCTTGGTTTGACGCAGTGTTCCGAATCACCGCCCGAATTGTGTCGCCGTTACGCAAGGCCTCCTTAACAGTTTTCAGGACTATAACAGCGATACCCTCTCCGCGAGAGTACCCATTGGCGCGGTCATCAAAACTCCAACATTGACTGTCTGCGGAAAAGAATTTGAACAGAGACATAATGTTCATGAAGTCGGGGTGAAAGACTAGATTTGCTCCCCCTACGAGCGCCTGCGTGGTCTAGTTAGCGACGTGTCGCTGCAAATCCTAATCCTTGATTTTAACTTGCCATAGAGGAGCTACCAGATCGAAGATCTTGGCATGCGAGGTGAAGCGCCAAAAGGCTACTAGAGCAGGCAGAGTCTAAATTCAGCGATGTCCCTTTAAAGTTGAAAAACCAGCTTATGCGATTAGCTAGCATAGCAGGCGAGATTCCTGCGGCTGCATGTGTCTGCTCCAATTCCGGATCCTGCTGCAGTATACTGTGGTAGTCATTTGTGAAGCACCCCGTGTATACCGATGTTTTAGATCCAGAGCATTGTTCCATCGTTATCCCAGCTACAACCGAGTTAGTGCAACAGAACTAGACAGAGGGACTACGAGAAAACATTTACCACTTTCAAGTGCGTGGTAAGCCGTCTCTAGCATCCGTCGGTGCTGGGGGTCCATGCATGCTGCTTCCGCGGGTGTGATGGCAAAGAAAGGCGCATCAAACGCACCCAAGGGTTCCTTAATAAAGTTGCCACCCCGAACATTGAACTGGTAGACGTGTCAGCCAGCCATTCCGACCGATCTAAAATCTCGTTACTAGAAGACCGAGTGAACATACAGTTCCAGGTCGCGAGGAATCGGGGTGGTAAAAGTTTTCAATATTCATTCGGTCGGTGGGGAATTCACTGCTTGCAGATCTTCCCTCACAGATCATGTCCCAGAAGCTGTCTGCGGACGTAGTTCCTTGGGCGAATTCGAAGGCAAGGCCCACAACAGCCAGGGAGCCGAGCTCATCATGATCAACTGGAGTCCTGTTCTCGCCCATGTTAACCAATCTCGCGTTTATTGGAGAAACAAACAACACCACGTAGCACGGGTCTTTCTATCAATTGCTGAGAGCCCCTGAGTCAACAAAAGTTTGTCCTTCATCTTCAGAGTTGACTCTCAACAGATCTTCAACCTCTTATAGCATGGGTCTAGGTGAGATGGCTGAATTCAGTACCTTAGGGGGATGGCAAGTAGGGTCCAGTGCACCCCAGCACTAGAGACCGCTCGAATCCAAAGAGCCTCATGTTTGCACCTTGCATGCGAAAGGTTCGGCAATCACACCGAGGGCCGAGCCCACCACCATTGACGCTCATCGAGGCTCATCAAGACGATCGCTGGCGGGTCAAAAGGATCGACAAGGAGGGGGTCGACAACTCGTCGGTGGAAGCAAATGGAGATGGTGGGTCACGGGAGGCACTAGGTTGGATGTAGGCTGGAAGTGGAAGCGACGAATGCCTGAGGTTTCCGCTGTCCCACCGCGAGTCAGACACCAGCTTCCCATTGCTTCATACTCATCCTCCGTCACTTTTCCAATCCCTACGCAACTCGTAAGCATCGAGCTGATGCGCTGGGATTTGGCCGAAGTTTGCTTTGAACTTGAACAAACATACATCGGCATTTGCATCCGGTGTTTGGAACCCCAGTCCATTGCGGGAATTAGGCGTCTGGCTTACTGGGATCAAGGATTATGAGCCTGGAACCCTTCCTGCGCCATCTTGATTGGTTGTGGTAAGTTTCTTTGTTTGGTGTGCTTGCGAGGCTGAACCGCCTGGACATGACCAACCTGTGGAGTCTTCTTACTAGTATCAGGAGCACGTGTTGTCAGTTTCCTAGGCCGACAGATGTGGCCTCTGACATTGATACTATGCAGTACAGCTGTAGCGCTGCCACACGCTGACACTCATCCTGATTGAGAGGCACTTGCAGCTTGTCTTCCACCTACGGATGGTGAACCTGCTTTCTCCGCGCCAGGTCGGACATACCATGCATGCTGCCGGGGATGCAGTGCTAGCGGGCAGGGTTACGCGATCGACCAATACGAGAATGCGCACGGTTCGTTGCAATCCATAGCTGATTCTGGCCAAAGCGTAAAAATTCGTTGACATCGCTTGCTAAAAAATATGCTTCAATTTCCAAATTCTTTCCTGTACGTAACCAGTATAGCCTAGTTTCGGTGTCGATTCCCCTTACTGCTTCTCTGATTTGCTGCTCGACTCGGCTACCAATGATTGACGCGTTTGCCTCGTTTGCAGTCTCGTGCCTTGTGACCAAATTGTCCACAACTGTTGCACTTAGCAGGGTAGGTACACAGCCTTGTCTAGTGCTGATTATACTGACCGCTTCAATACAAAGCATACCACCTAGGGTCTGCTTGAGGGTCTCAGAATTGCGCTCTTGCCGCGGCTCTGTTTACATTCCGCCAACCTGTGGAACTACAGTACCCTTTGTTTGTGGGGTGCTTGCTTCCAATACAGCCTTGCACTTATCATATAGCTGATGGGCCTCGAATGTTTGCTGACGCTGATCATGCCACTATAATTTCGGCCCGTACATTCTTTGGTTCCCGAACGATATCAAACGCGCCATTGCCTGCCGGGTCACTCTGGGCCGACACTTCCGCTCAGTAATTTGTTTGTCCACATCAGCCGATATCGTCTTGCGCTGGTATGGATTAGGGAAATTGGCGAGGCTGAAATGAATGGCTAATTTGATTGTTGGCTTTGTACATGCGTGTGGAAGTTGAAAGAAAGCACGGGGTTCCAGTAGCATGGAATAAGCCACCTGAGATGTGAAACCCAGAAAAGTCTGATCAACCAAGGGGCGAGTACCCCAACATCTTCCTCCTATTTATCTACCAGCTGCAATCCCTCGAAGCGTAGATAACACTCATCGAAGCATTTGCGAGAGAAGGAAACATCACTGAGACCGAGAACAATCCCCCAGCTCATCCAGTATGGCAGTCAAAGATGAATATGTCTTCCCACGCGATCATCTAGACAATAACCGGTAGGCAAGCTCAATCTATCTTTCCAAAATCATAGCCTAATTTACCAACAGGATCAATGTCCAACACTACTTTTGGACCAGGATGTATGGCTATCTTCTTCATCCGGATATTCCCACAACAAGCCCAACCCTAAAAATTGCAGACGTTGGAACCGGGACCGGGTACGTATGCAAGCCACTTTCAGGAGAAAGAAGAAAAAAATTTGAAAAAAAAAAAAAGAAAATTATGCGCAATTAAGAGCTTACAGCCAGTGGCAGGATCTGGTTGCTAGATCTGTGCGACCAACTACCGCATTCGGTGCAGCTCGATGGACTTGACATTTCGTTTCAGGCCGCTCCAGTCAAAGAGCGATTGCCCCCCAACATGGCGCTCCGACACTGGGATATTCGAACAGATCCCCCTGAAGAGCTGCTCGGGGTCTACGATGTCGTTCATATCCGTTTGTTCTCCTGGGTGTTGCTCGCTGACGAGCTACCTGCAGTTGCAGGCAGGCTTTTCAAGCTACTCAGTAAGTTAACGTTTTGCCATACGTTTGCATGGCCGCAAAAGGCCTTTGCTGAATAGAATTGCATTTTAGAGCCAGGCGGCTTCCTACAATGGACCGAAGCCGATTTCGGAAGCCGGCGCACGGTGAAGACTAGCCCAGCAAACAAATCAGATGCGACTGACCAGCTATGGAAGCTCATGGAGCGCGACGACGAAAGGATTCGTCCTAAATGGGCCCCCAGCATCCCTGCGTTGCTGCGGGATCAGGGGCTCGAAGATATCAAGGCCGACGTTAGAGATACGCCGCCTCACCTGCTTGGCCCCGTTCAGGACTGCATTCTGTTATCTGCGGAGACGATCATTCGGAGCGGCCTTTTTGACGACGCAGTCGCAAACAAACTCAAACACCTCTTAGCAGAGGCTGTCAAAGAGGCACGGCAGGGCACTTGCTGGGAGTTCACCAGGTGGACCGTCGTTGGGAAGAAGCCCGCCGCAGCGTAGGTGATGTACTTTTGTCACTCAAATTTGGTGCCTGATAGTAGCATCGGGTCTGTCGGTGGCCGAGTGGTGATATTGCGGGTGGGCATGTGTTTTGTGTGGAGAGGGACCTATACTAGAAGAAAGAGTACACAGATGAAACTTCAATTCTCTTTTTTTATATCTTTTACCGTGTTACAGCAGCAGTGAAAAGTATAATCCGCTATTTACTCCTTACGGATCTCTACTCTCGGGTGTTGAGCCGACGAGCTGACGAGTAGCCTGATGCATAGGTGGGCTTAGCAGGCTCCTTGGGGCTCTCGTCCTTCATCGGAATGTCGAACTAATGGTCCGCGCCATGTTGATCGGCGGGGAGAACGCAGCTACCTGCAGGAGCAACGACACATTCAGTCACCCAATATCCTTGCATGGACACCCGTAGACAGGAATGTAAGCCCCCTGTTCCCGTTCCCCTCCTACGTCCCCACGCCTCCCGGAATCCGGCTTCTAGTTTGATTTCCTGCGTCCGTGAGAGTAGCTCTTGTTGACCCCACTAACTTGTGCAACCGTCGTCATTTGGTGTAAGGCTCTGTTCTGATCCCCTTGCCTTGTGTACCAACCTATCAACCACGGAATAATAATACATGATGCATACACCAGCAGCCCGGGATGTAGGCTTATGGGGTCCAAATATGCTCACACAATATACTGGCAGTATCTTATAAGCGCTGGCCTGCATTGTCCTCGTTCCCGCTTTATCCCAAGACTCAAGCAGAGACCACGCCACCATGGAAGCAAAAGAACATGAGGACTTTACCCCAGGCTCCTTGGACGAGAGTCGACAGCCAAAAGTGTACATCACTGCGGGCGTTTTCATCGTGCTCAGCACATGTGCAGTGGCCCTGCGCTTCCTAGCCCGTCGTATCTCCCGTGTTCCCTGGCACCGCGACGATATCTTGATTCTCATTTCTTGGGTGTGGTTTATGGCCTTCGTCACGACTACTATAGGTATGCACGGCGCCTCTTTATCCCTCCATTCGCAGTCATTAACCTGGGCGGACAGCTGATGCCCGGTTCGCCGGCCTCGGTCTACACGAAGCCCGCGCTTTGGAAATCGATTCCGATATGCTAGCTCGCTGGGCGAAATACGTTCTGGCCATCGCGATGCTGTACCTGATAACAGTGGCGCTTCCAAAGTTTGCCATTCTAAGCATGTACTTCACCATCTTCCGCAGCAGCCGCATCTTTCGTATCACTTGTTATATCACCGGAGGGTTAGTAGCCGCCAACCTGATCGCATCCTGTGCTGTAGGCTTCGCCATCTGCGTTCCCCTCAAGTCTTTCTGGGATAAATCGATAGACGGCCGATGTCTCGACATCAACGAGTGGTTTCGCTGGACCCGAGTCGTGAATATCCTGACCGACATAATCCTCTTGATATTGCCGATCCCGCAAATATGGCGCCTGCAAATGTCAGTACGGCTTAAACTTGGCCTGCTACTAACGTTTTCACTAGGAGGCCTGTAAGTCAATGCATTCCCCCATAATGATCTTTCCACCACTCCTCCCGGAATTCTCTAGCCCTGACCTAACGCACCCATACTCAAACAGAGGCCTCGTTGCAGCCATTTCCAGCTACAGGGTGATCTCCACCACCAACGCAAGTCTTGACCCTACCTGGTCTGGCGCCGAAATCATGTTCTGGGCAATTATCGAATGTGGCATGTACCTGATCGCGCCTTGCTTGGTTTCGTACCAACCCTTGGTGAAGATTATGTGGCGAGGCGTCGTGGAATACGGGTCGCGGACTCAATTGCTCCAGTACTGGCGGACGGCTCGTGGGCATAACACCGTCAGCGACACGGCGTCTAAAGAGCACGGTGACACGGTTAGCTTGGTGCATATTGTTCGAAAGAGCTCGGGGGCGGGGCCCTAAGAGTATTTCGTAGATGGAAGTCGTACTTCGTTTTATACTGCTCTCTCTCTCTCCCCTTTTTCTTCTTTTTTCTCCAATTCATCCAGCTATAATTGGGTAGATTGTTCGCTATCTGCTAAGCCACTAAGTATGTAGTGGGTGTGTACCCTCAGGCAGTGTGAACATCAACAATCCTCGGAATGCTTCTTCCCCAAAACCAGCCGCTTGTAACCCTCTTTTTCTTATTCTCTCATGAGAAATATGAAAAGTATCAATGTTACGATAGATATGCCCATTTCGTAAATTGAGCAAGCTTCTCGTAGCGGACGTCCGAGGTCTATAAATATATTTATTCGTAGAGTAAAGAATACACTAAAATAAAGCTCTATCTATAGAACGCCAGAATAACAAACTCATTCGCTATAACAATAAAAAAAAGTCATGTCTGTACACGCTATTGATGTACTGGCGAAACATGAATCTGTCAGTACCTTTCGACATCAGGGTACTGCTCTTTTCTCCTCTTCTCATCCCGAATATTTTGATCATATTCGGGATGACTGACTGGTTCTTGAAGGATTCCTCGTTTGTGGTTATCCTGTAAGAACTTCAAAAATTCTAACGAGGTCTGAACATACTGCTGCACGCCCTCCTTGACATCAATTGTAGCTCCAGTCGTCCAGCTCAGCAGCAATGGCTCGATCAGAGGAGCATCCGTCACCGAAGGATGCGATGTGCCGACAGAAGTCATGAACCAGGCGTCTTTGCCCCGCTGGATAATACCCTCAACCAGTTCCTTGACGACGTCGAAGTGCAGCCGTCCAGTAAAGATGGTTACTTTTCGGGACCACGAGTCAGAATGTATAACTAGCGTCGGGACATCAGCCTCCACATCCAGATGCCTCATGCATCCTTGAGTGATTTAATAGATAGTGTGTGACCAACAACCTAGCTTGTAACGAGCTCAGTGTGACTTTGCTGGGCTCTTTCTGAAGCTCTTTTTGGGCCATGGTAAAAAATCGCACGCTGGCTACCCGATAATAATAATTCGTTATTGTTCTTCTAAGATGCACGCACCTAGCAGAGTACCCACAGAAAACGCTATTTTGTTTGGAGTAATGAGAACCGGTAGCCATCACCATGTATACCAGGGCTAAGTCATCCTGGTTTGGGTTAAAGGTTTCTTCGAGATTGTATATTTTTTCGTAGACAGCCAGCAAGCTCGGTTTATGCACAAAGCGAGATGTTGTCAAACCAAAGTCAAAATAATCGCGTATCAGGTCATCGGCAACGGATTTAGGCGGAAGTATGGAGGGGAGATTACCAGCGTTTGTCAATGGATAATCCGAAAAGTCCAACGGCATAGACGGTAAACTTGCTAGCCTTTGCTTAGCGAACTGAAGAAATGCAAATCCGGTCGCAAAGCCATGAAAGTGACCATATTGATCTTCTGGAGGAGTTTCGTCGGGCATGACCGGTCTCAGGGAGGTCTCGATCCCAGTCGAACCTTGCGGCAAGACTCGTTGTCCCGAGTCATCAGGAAGTTCATTTTTGTCAAGTATGAGCTGTTACACGGAGCAGAATCAAAGTTGTTGCTAGAGTGATCCGATGTAGTGGACATATAGCGACAAGTTTGCCTCTGCTGTTGACACCGAATGCACGGCATATGGCCCGAGCATCGTGTTTTCTTCCTGTCTCTCCCGTCAGTTTCACGTCTTGTTTGTAGGTTGATGCAGGTGGGTTCCAAACTCTCTGCAAGACATGCATGCATTCTTGTTTTTTGATAAAGCCCCATTTTGACTCTCCCTCGTCCTCGTCCTCGTCCTCTGAGCGCGTTTGCGGGGTACTGTGCCTCGGGATTTTGCCGTTGGAGAATAGTAGGGGACTATCCTTAACAACGGCGAGTCCATAATGTGATGTTATTCCCCGAAAACGCCTGGCTGGCAGAACAATAGAGTAGTCTTCCGCGAAAAGGAATTAATTTAGCATTAACCGACCCAACTTGTATGTTTTGACATCAGCATATTGGAAAGAGAAAATAGGAATTTACGCAAAAACGGCCTAGTTCAATTAGGTAGTTAGCTAGATATTTTGTTGGTAGATCATTGGCTTAGGCTGGATAGTTAAGTAATTTGGATGAAAGGGCATCTCATATCGCACGTTCACATGTAGGGTGCTTATCGAGTCGGCCTAGCGGTCTTTGAGCTGATAAATTTTCCCTGTCAAACGACTCTCTGGTCAGTTCGGGTAGCTCTTTCATCCCTGGCTTATATCCATCTTACTCTGGAAGAATTTAAGACTTCATTCAGGTTATCAACATTTATCAATCTTTCCATGGTGTTTGCCGTTCCAGAGAGACAGACTACATACTCCTTCTCATACAGCTCAATAGGTCTATGTAATATCACCGGAAAAAAAAAGGAACTTTGTCAAAACCTTGATCTGAAATTATGTTAACTTAATATGAAAGATGATTTGTTCTCCCGGCGTTTGATTACTACGATGGTCAACCAAGGCGTAACTAATGCCGCAACTCCTCGCATACTTAACCTTTGTGGCTCTGAGTCTAATGCACGTGATGGATTTGGGTGTTTATAAAAATCCTGATCTCCCCTTGAATTCCCCCCTTGATTCACTCCTTCCTCCCATTCCGCAACCTCGGTATTCCAGTTCGGATTGGACGAATTCATCAAGTCGTTCGCCCCTCACAGAGACGCTACAGTTCACAGTAGGTCGATATGTTTTACATTAGGCATCTGCCAAGCTTGCTGCTGGTTTCACTGAGCGTAGTCTGCGCGAACTGCGAGAATACGTGTAGCTCCAACAAAACGACTACAAGACAGGAATGGTACGTGCGCCCAAAATCTCACCAGTAGGTAAGTGAACTTCAATGACTAACTTTCAATACCCTCTAGGGGCACATTAAGCGCTAATCAGCGCACTAAATATATCAATGCTATCTGGTGTCTCAGAAATCGCGAAGCCGTCCTCCCGTCTTCCGATTACCCTGGGGTACGCGATCGTTTGGATGACTTTGTGGCGTTAGTACTAATGACCCTAATCCCATTGCATGAGCCAGTGGGCTAAACTCATCTACCAGAACTCATATAAACTATACAACACGCATTCATGACAATGGCGTTTTTCTTCCATGGCATCGACATTTTCTTTTTCTCTGGGAACGCACCTTGCAGAAAGAATGTGGCTACACCGGTGGCGTTCCGTAAGTTCCTAACTCCGGCCTTCTATCCCACCTCCTACTAATATCTTATCTCAGATACTGGGACTGGTCACTAGAGACTTCAGACCTCTCCAAAAGCCCAGTCTTTGACGGTAGCGCCACATCGCTATCGGGTTACGGCGTAAACGATCGTGCCACATGCCATGGCAACTGCAGCAGCCCTACAAGCACCGGTCGACGCTGCGTGACATCCGGCCCCTTCAAGGACTACCAAATACATTTAGGCCCGTTCAACAACACGTTCGATCCTCATCGGTCATTATGGCCTCCAGGATTCGATTACAATCCCAGGTGTCTCGAGCGCAACTTCAGTCCGGAGTATCTGGCAGAGTACGCCAACCAAACCTCTCTCGACAGCATGCGGAACGCGAAAGATATAAACGAGTTTCTGACCTTCATGAACCCGAGCCGCCTGGGCGCTAACGGCGCGCACAGTGCTGGACATTTCGCGGCAGGAGGTACCATGGCGGATCAGTATGCGTCGCCACAAGATCCGGCATTTATGCTTCATCATGGGATGGTGGACCGCATGTGGACCTTGTGGCAGGGTGATGTTATGGAGAATCGTCGCTACGCGCTTAACGGCACCGCGGTGATGCATGATGATCCGACAATGCCCCTAGTGACGCCTGACTTTGTCGTGGAGTTTGGGCCGTTGGACCAGCCGCGAGCTCTCAGGGATTTATTGGATCCGATGAGATATATGTATTGCTATCGCTATGATTGAACTAGTGATTTAATTGTCAGATAGAGCGCTAGTGGGCGGATTTGTGTTGTCTATTCTGTACACTCTGTACGCTCTGTTCTGGAGATTCCAAGGGGATTGACTGGTCATGGTCCTCGCATTCTCAATTATAATATACAAACTCGCATCTTTTTCTAGTCAACCCATATCCTTCCGTCGGAATTTGTTGTTTGTCAGATTCCATTTGGTCTTCATAAGCGTGACAATGAACTTTGAATAGATGCAGCCCTAATTTAAGTTCTGGATAAATTAGAGAAAGCAAAACAAAGAAAGGGGACCCATCGGCATGGTTAACAGAGCTTTATTCGGATACCACGGACAATTGATTCCACCACAAAGACTACATACTAATAGAGAAGAATAACCATTGGCTATAGCAACAATGCATGTATAAGAGATGGGAGTAGCCGCTGTGGACAATAAGATACAGGTTATTGCCTTGAAATATACCTTCTACACACTATGTGTCCTCCTTGACTAAACGGTCGATATGGAGGTATAAATACCGCTCCATCTGGAATCAGAGATTGTCATTCTCCTCATCACTTCGCGACAACCACCAGTATACAGAATTCAACCAACCAACCAAAAACCAAAAATTCCATATATAAATTCACTTTACACCGGCATCCACCGGCAAAATGTTGCCTTAGGTTGACCATATCCTATAGATGCGCCTAGTGTTCTCACACGGGTCCTGAATATCAATGCAGTGTGTGTGTCGTAGCACTCTACTGCAACGAATCACATGAAAGGGAACACAGACATGTGCATGAAGCACAGTGTCTGGAAATTCGTCAAATTTTCACAGACTACGAGTCAAAGAAACATCTACTCCCTGAAGCGGCGTTGGATGTTATCAATGGATGCAAGATGGAGACCAAGAATCGGTTTAATGACGAATACGGCGTCCACACTCATCTTGTCGATTACGTGTTCTCTCGGTGTGTCGTTCTATTCGTGGCCTGCAAGGCTAAGACCTTTAAAAGGGTTGAAAAAGAATGCAATCTCTTGGGCCATCTTTTCGAGAGGCTCTCTCGCCTCTATAATGTTCATGCTTTGAATCAAATACCTGATCTTCTGATCCATAATGATCGGCATGATTTGTTCTATGATTTTGTCAGACAGACGCTTCAGGGTGGTCGCAAGGTTTCTTCTGCATTTGATTCTAGGGAGGATGACGCTCTACAATACATTGACAACAGAGGAATCGACGCTCTCAATCCATTCCTCTGGTCGTATCTGGTATGTGATATAAAACCCTTTACGGGTCAGATTGCCGGTGGCCCCAATCTCAAGGAAGCGGCCAGCTGTACCAACCAAATAATTCAACATTTCAGCCGAATGTGGCTAGAGATTCCAGGTGCGCTGAAGATGATTGCTGACGACTACATGTCTGAGACTGGTTACTCTTATCGCGATGCAAAGATCAGAGAGCACCCTGCCCCTGGAGGAGATACACCATTCTCTTGGTGGGACTGCTGTTAACATACTTCTTTGCCGTAACTCTGAGGAATCACTGGCTGCTGGAATTATCGAAGTGTCATAATATTACTATGTTGTGTTCTGCCTCTGCTCTAACAATCCAGGCTCTTGGAAAATACTAATTACTATCACAGGGTTGAAGTTTACTGTGCTTGTACGTTTCCATAAGCATGTTATAGATCTTTTATCATATAAGAGGGATTTTATAAGAGAAACCACTATATCCGATAGTTATATTAACAACTAGAGATCAAGGTGCATTAAGACAATGATGATACTAGCTAGAGGTGCATGATCACTTAGAACCGCCTAACAAATAGGCCGGCCATATCCAATAATGCTACGCTTGCCAGACTTCGGATCTCGTACACTTCGCTCAGCGCTGCTCACGTCTACCTTTCCAGCACGTGCTCCTATGATGTCAACTACAACCCCGCACTTCAATCATCCCCTAACCCGTACTGCACGATCAAGTGCCAAATGGCCAATGACTAAGAAAAACCCCCAAGTAGTTAGTAAATCTAATCAATGTTTTGCCTTGGTCCAAGATCCCTGGCATATGAAGGTGGATCTTGAAATATAACTATAGTAAAAGAGGATATGATATTGTCGATCATCATATGAGATCAGCGAACCAGCCGGTCACTCGCATTGTTAGCTTACTATGGATTTGTGCAGAAATGCTCTGGTTGGGTGCATCTGGCATCACCAACAAGGATGGATGGCAGAATAGGATCTGAGCGCTATTAACAGGGAAAATATTTGCTTATTTTGGCGATGGCCTATGGTTTCAGGTATTTATAAAGCAAAGCCTACATTGAGTATAGATACGGAGTATACAAATAGTAGAAAACAGTGGGAGAAGCTCGAACATACAGAGTGAATTTATAGGGGCATGGGCTAACTGCGGGGGGTACGGAGTAGATCTGCGCGAGAACTGAGAATTCTGAAGTCTGAACACACTATCTCCAGCTGTGCGGGGTTGCAGTGGTATGTTTCACATGCATTGAGATCAACACTGAACTACTGAGTATGTAGAGGTGCAGATACATTTTGAGAAAACGGGCAGATTGACAGCAAGACACGTACAGTAGAAAGCATCTACAGATAGAAGCGGGTAGTTCCGGCCTGATAAAAGTGGCAGAAAACGGCACGGCGGGCGGAACAGGTATTGATCCGGCATGATTCCAAGTTCCAAAGAGATCTTCAGTGAAACAAGAATTGTTGCTGAAGAAACCAACACTCTTAGCACCAGAACATTGTGTTTTATTGGAACCAAGCCACCTTCCGTTCCGTCTAAAAAAATGTTGAACCTCGCGCGGTTGCCGCTCCGTGAAGCAGCATATCTCAACCGGCCAAGGACAGGATACTTGGTCTTGATTTGCGTCATTACGGGGCTGTTGGATAATCAGACCAGGCCAATAGGCGCCAACTCGACGAAAAATCCCCGGGCGCTTTGCCGTAAAGAAATCGGCTCGCCCGAAGGGAAGATCAAATCATGGTGTCTCAGGATGGCTGCGGACTGCACATACGGTGGATCAGAACCCACCGAAATATCCACCCAAAACTCTCGGGTGCGCTGCATTCGGCAACCCGCGGGGAATGGGAATGACGAAGGGGGCCGCCTGCTACGTCGCTTGCTGTGGTCGTTGTGTATTCGATTCGTCTCTCCAGCTCGAAACGGGCATGTTATCCAGAGAAGCAGACACCGGCGACTGTAGCGAAAAGGTCGAGGTTGGCCGGAAACAGCGAAAGGCGAAGATCTGTCTTAGGATCTTAGCCCAAACACCGGATGCTTAGATTAAATCTGCAGTGCTCAGTAGCGACGCTAGTGGCCACCGGCGTGTCGCTGGTGCGATATTAACTCCTGGTCGTGACGTCATTATCTCCCTAGCTCTGTTATATTTTGGTTTTTTTATTATTTCTGCGTCTTTTTTTGGTTCTCGGTCTGCTCCCTAGGGAATCAAGCGATGGCTTCATGAGACGGTGTAGCAGGTTATGCGAGATCAGAGAGGGCTTCATCGGTTCCGTATTTACAGATAATCGTTGACACTAAAGTGCAGATTGCAATAGCGGCGTGCGGTTGCCGTTTATCAGGCCGTTCGAAGTCCTTTCGGTTAAGCAAAGTGGCTTAACTTAATTTAACGTTCCTCGAATCGCTGTTCATGCTGAGCCTGCACATCTGGCGGAAGCCCAGTAGCCGGCAATCATAGATTCATCTCGTGAACTATATTCAGTACACCGTACAGAGTCCACGAGGCGGCCCTCGAGCAATTCGAGACCCCTCTATTCCAGGAAAGCGATAGTTATCCAAACCGCCCTTGAAGCCTTGACCTACGCAACTGCGCGATGACGGTATGGTGCGTCTTCCAGACAGACTAGCTGCCACCCAGGCCAGTCAAGAGTGACAACTGGACGGAGCACGCTGGTCCCTGGATCCATCGACCGGGACTCCCTCTTCCGGCAACCGATCTACGGTCCATTATTCACCACTTTTGGTATAAGTTTATGGTGCGATTCTGGTTGCCCCTCCTCAATCTGCCCCTCATTAATCCCTCAAGTCGTCATTCCGGTTTCTCGAGAGTTTCCTTAAATCCCGTCCCCTTCCCCAGGAGCTCTGTAGTTGAGAGAGTTCTCAACGTCTACAATCACCAACTTCCCGAATACCCTCCTATCTCTCAACTCCTTCACCATGCCCCGCATCGACGAACATGCGGTGGATTCCACCCAGAACCTCGTGCCTCCCTACGCGGAGGGTCAGAAGCGCGACAGATGGTCTCGCCCTTCCATCCCCCGGGATCCCGCCAAGATCGTCGAGGTCCCCTCGACCCGCGATGCCATCAGCGATGCCTCTGCCCTGATGCACAACCTGAGCTTCGCGCCGTCCATGAAGGACCGTCGGGGCTCGCGGAATTCCTTCAGCACTTCCTTGCCCATTCCCCGGTCGCCGCGTCTCTCGCGGCTGTCAACGGCCTCCCGGCCCAGCACGGTGAAGCGGGACATCCTCGCTTCCCAGATCCAGGATCTCCACAAGGACAAGGTCGAGAAGGTGAAGAACATGGCTTTCGCTTTCGACATTGACGGTGTCCTGGTCCACGGCAGCAACCCCATCCAAGAAGGAAAGGACGTTCTCAAGATCCTGAATGGTGACAACGAGCTCGGTATGTTCCTTTCCCACTCAGATTCATTATAAAAAAAAAAGAAAAAAACCTCACTAACATCAACCTAAGGCATCCAATTCCCCTACATCCTGTTGACCAACGGCGGTGGAAAGACCGAGGAGGCTCGTTGCCAACAGCTCTCGGAGATCCTGGAACAGCCCATCTCCACGGACCAGTTCATTCAATCGCACACCCCCATGCAGGCTCTTTCCGAATACTACGAAACCGTGCTGGTTTGCGGTGGCGAGGGCTACAAGATCCGGGAAGTTGCCCAACAATACGGCTTCAAGAACGTGATTCACCCCAAGGACATTCTCGCCTGGGACCCTACCATCTCGCCATGCCGCGTCTTCACGGACGAGGAGCGCAAGCACGCCCAGCCCCGCGACTTCTCCAAGGTCCAGTTCGACGCCATCCTGTGCTTTGCTGAATCCTTCGACGCCATGACCGACCTGCAGATCATCAACGACCTGCTCATGTCGGACAACGGCCGTCTCCTCACCCGCGGCCCCAAGGGCGCCGAGCACATCCCCATCTACTTCTCGCAGGGTGACTTGCTCTGCCCCACGGAGCACAAGGGCCCCCCTCGTCTCCACCTGGGTGCCTTCCGTCTGGCCGTCGAGGCCCAATACAAGGCCACTAGTGGCCAGGACCTGGAGCGTGTGCTCTACGGTAAGCCCGAGCGGGCTACTTACATCTACGCCGACGAGGTCATGAAGTCGTGGATGGAGGAGATCCACCAGCAGAACAAGTTGCCCAAGAACATCTACATGGTCGGAGACAACCCCGCCTCCGACATCATTGGTGGTAACCTTTACGGCTGGAACACCTGTCTGGTCCGAACGGGTGTCTTCCAGGGCGGCGAGAACGATGAGCAAAACCCCGCCAACTTCGGCGTCTTCCCCAACGTAATGCATGCTGTTAAGTCGGCCATCCGCAAGGAGCTGGGCGACGACTTCGGCTTCAAGTGGGAGCCCAAGATCAGCAACCCTGTCTTGCATGGCGAGTCCTCCGCGTCCGCTATTGAGTAAATCGGAAACTAGTTGGTGAAAAGTATGCAGCCTTCTTGGGGTATTACCGGCTAGTATCTACATGCAAGGACCTGCGATACTTTGTTGATTGTTGAAGGTCTAACGACTACACGAGATATCCTAAAACTTCGAGGGAAAATAAGAAGTTACGAACATTGGGTCTGGAATTTACGTTATAGATAGAATTGCATATTTTTATTTTCTTTGTTCACCCAAATATCTTCTCAGTAGAAATTAAAATGTAGAATACGAGGTCACACCATCTTTTGCTGCTGCCTTAGGTGTCTGGTTACTTCAGGACTAGCGCATGTAACCTGGTCCACAGTCGGGCCACGTATCCCCGTGTTTGGCGTCTTTTTTCTGCCGCAAATGACACGCCCACCTCATCTACCACTACGCACCTGTAAATTGTGACGGTCTACAAAGGAGCTTAGTAAACGACAAGTTTGTTTATGACTCGTAGTCAAAGAATTTTCCCATGGAGAAGAAAGGCTATCTAGGATTGAGGATCTAGAGCCTCTATATACTCCCTGAGGCGACGCCTCAGGCAGGAATGCCTGCAGGACATCCAGGAAGGTTCATGGATGCCTACCGGAGGGTCCCTCGATCCTATACTAACTAACCGGAACGTTCCTCTGGAACGTTCCTCCGTACCGGGAAGTTCCCTAGCTCAGGAGGTGACATAAATCAGCATGAAATATGAATCTTTAAGCTATCTATGAGCAATTTATATCTTTCTCACCCAAAGGAGGTCGTGGTGTATGGAAATCAGCCCAGCATGGCCTCGTATCAGGTCTGCTTAAAGGAACTTTGCAGGCCTTACAGCAATATACTGTGTGAAATTGCTTTGGAACAGTATAACCTTGAGCCTTCGCTCTTTGCACCTGTATAGCACAGAAATGGCACCATTTGCGAGGGTGCATCCTTTCAACCTCATGATTACCATCATGCGATGGTTGGACTAAGCTATGTCTTCGCTTTCTTTTCAGTGATTCCTCTGATGCTTGTTTGAATAGCTCTCTATAAAGAGCTTTCCGAAATTCAAGATGAGTAATCTCCTTTATACCTTGCTCTCTGTAAGCCATCTTTGCAATTTAATAAGCATTGATAATAGCTACATCAAGGGTCCAAAAGAATATAGGCCACCAGGAGCGTAAGCATCTTTGGTGAGTTTCATATATAGATTAGGGTTGCAAGAAATGTCTTGATCTCCGAAGCTGTAGTGTCATGCCATTCTCATCCAGACTGGCCCGCATTCTTAGCCTTCGCATATTTGTTGGTGTTGGATGATAATGATGTAATCAGTTCTTCCGATAAAGATAAAGAGAATAGGCTGTATGGGCATTCAATATTTACTCTATCTGGCAATTTGATCGTAGGAGGGAAGGCTTCAGCCATTTCAAGAGGCTCAAACAGAACATCTTGGTACTGTCACGGGCTTGGCAGTGGGTAGGTGCGCTTCTACCCGCCAAGACCGTTTAGTAGGTTTGTTGGACGTTTTACCAACTGAGCTACTAAAAAGACCAGAATACCAAGTCGAAGACTTGGTATGCGCATCGCTCTATATAGTAAGCCTTGGTCAGTTCGTCACAGGTACTGGGGTATCTCGCGAAGTATTTGCGTTAGATTTTGCTTTGCTTCTTCCATCTTTGAAACAGGAGGAGTTGGAAAAGCACTAGATAGAGCAATAGAGGAGCTATACAATAGGGGTTCTTCAACCTCTTTCAGAGGCAGACCCCAGGAATCCATGATGTATGAAGACGCGATTACCACGCGTAAGGCGCGTTCTAGTTCATAGAATAAACATGCGTGCGAATATGAGAATACGAGACTATTCCTAATTCGTATGGATACGGTGAAGCTACCTGACCAATAGAGCTACATAATTCAAAATTACCGCTAGTCATGACTAGCGCTGCCAGGCAAAGGGATACGGACTACGGAGTACTACACCGGAGATGCCCAGTCGTCAATCGGGAAAAATTGGAAGGAAATTACCGAGGATTCAATTGGTCTAGCGAGGGGTGTTTACTTTCGCTTACGGTCAATTGGATTGTCTGTTACGCTCCATAACTCGCCAGGATGGCTGTTACGTGCAGATGTGTCTGTGCGCTTATCGATAAGCGTTATACTGGGATAACAAGGCATGAATGTCATCAGAGGCGTACATAATAATACCCCGTAACTTGGTTAGAGAAAAGCAAGGGCTAGCAGGTAGATATTGAGTGTGGTCATAGAATAGTCATCTAGGATCTAACAAGAACAATTGCCATGTTTCTACAAGTTAACTACTAGGAACTAATTGCATCATGGTGACATTAAAGATATATATCTATCATGGCAATGGGAAAGAAAACGACAACTAACTAAAATTCGGTTATACTGTACTCCGTAGATGAGTAGATAGATACGTAGCTGAGTGTTATTATTTGCTAATTCACCTATTCAAATGGTCTATCTACTCCGTAGAATGTTCTTCGCCCGACTCTCTTCTAAGTTCACACAGTGGCCTGTTCCAGAGGCTGCGGTGTGTTTTCTACGGACCACAGCAGACCGGCCCGGTGTGAGCTCCTGCCCAATCGGGTATAGCTGGTCCACCAATTCCAGCCCCTAACCTCTTCCGGCGGTTTCTGCCTGGGGGCCTTGCAGCTGCGCAATGCTTGGCACATTCCGCCTGAGGCATCTGAAACAGGCTCAATCTGGCTTCAATTCCCTGGGTGTTCATCCTCGATTCATGTAGAACAAAATTGACATTTTCGCACTCGAATAGATATCTAGAAACAATTCACAAACAAAACAAGCTAATTACAGTCACAGAGAAATCTAATCACTTTGTACGGTCTCTCTGGTCTCCAAGTCAATACACCCCTTACAGACGCGCAAGTACCCGGTCGGCTTGAAGCACGGAGATATGACTTCGTCGAATGTCATCGATCGTGCGACATCTAGAAACCATTAGCAAGAATTTCGCAAGGTAGGGAAAATGTGAACATACCCAGCCAAAGCCATCGTTGTCTTCAACTCGCGATGAAGAAGCTTCATGGCCAACTCGACGCCATTCTGGCCGTCATACTATAAATCAAAGCACGTTGTTAGCCCAAGCCCTATCCTTCTCACATATCCAACACAGAAGAAGAGTTTATAGAATCCTTACAGCAAGACCCCAAATAGGAACCCTCCCGACAAAGCAATGCTGCGCACCCAGCGCCAGGGCTTTGAAAATATCAGACCCTCGTCGAATGCCACCTTCGAGGGCAATCTGGATCTTGCCCCGAGCGATGGGCTCGCATTCTCGGAGGGCGTCGATCGCTGCGGGTGCGCCGTCGAGTTGTCGACCGCCGTGGTTGGAGATGACGACGCCGTCGGCACCGTATTCGATTGCTAGCTCTACGTCTTCTTTTGTGGTGACTGGTTGCGTTGGGGGTTAGATTTGGTCTGGTGTGGTTGGGTAGGTATCAATGGGGAGAGGCCGTTAACTTACTGCCCTTGAGCCAGATTGGCAGGGTGGTGTTTTCCCGGAGCCAGGGGATGAACTCGCGCCATTCCATGCTGGAGTCTGGATTTGCATCTCCGTTAGGAAGAGTGGGCGAGATTGGAGGTTTTATATGAGTGAGTGAACATACCGTAAGATGTGCCACCACCGCCGCCAAAGAAACTGTCTCCGCCGAAGTTGAGGTTCGGCCAGGACATGTGCTCCGGAAGCACGAACTCATTGCGGGACTCGTTCAGGCGCTGACCGATGAGCGGGAAGTCGACAGAGAGAAAGAAAGCCTTGTAACCGGCCGCTTTGGAGAGGTTAGCGTCGATTCTGATAGTTACAGCAGTCGTTTGAGTAGTGTGTCCTCACCCTCGGCGCGTCTCAATAACTTCAGCGCAAATGATCGGTCTCTCAGAATACACATCTGAATCGCATATGGATTCTCTTGGCCTTGCTCGATGACCTCTTCCATAGAGACCGTGGAGTAGGACGACAAAATCATGCCCAAGTTGGTGCTGGCTGCCGCACGAGACGTAGCAAGTTCACCATCAGGGTGAGCGAGTTTTTGCATCCCAGTCGGGCTGAAACCAAGCGGGAATGATACCTACAGACACAATTCGAGGTTATTAAAAGATCCGTTGATTTCTTGCAACAAAGATGTTGCATACCTTGTTGCCGAAGAGAGTAGTCGAAGTGTCAATGTCGTCGACATTTACCATCACTCGCGGCCGAATCTTGTAATGGTCGAATGCGGATTCATTCTCTTTCAGCCTGTGAAACGCCCAATTAGAGTTATGTCAAAAAGCTGGGGAAGAAAGCATAATCATACGTGACCATATCCATTGATCCATCGTCGTGAAAGTCTGATTCCTGTCAGCTGTTCGCTCTTTGTTGAACTCAATTAATGGTCCACTGACCCCTGTATGCCTTCGGAAGCTTCTTATTGCCAGCCTCTCTCAAGTCCTTGATACAGAAGACATGCTTGTCAAGTGCTGGTGGACGGTTGGCCATGTTGAATTGAGTGTGTGTTTTAAAAAGGGTAGAAGAGTTATGAGTGTATAGAGGTAGAAGAATGTAAATGAGGTTATAGTTTGACGTGCAGAATAGTCACTCACCGTGTCAATACCGCCTTATATAGACATCCGGCTACAAACGCATCCCAAAGCCCGGAATCCGGCACGGCAAAATTAACCTTTGAATTGCATGATATTTCCTTGATTTACACGAAGTGGCATCTACGGGAAAGGGATCCCATCATAGAAATGACAATGAGGCCGATAGGATGGCGCAATGTCATAGAGTCGGTAGGCAGTCATCGAGGCCCCCCAGATCGACCCTGACCCATCCTTCGATCCAGAACGTCTGAGTCAGATAATGTTCAGGCTAGGCTGAAAAGTATGGCCTGAGATCTTGCGCAGGTCCCATCAACGAATCCATTCCGCTAGCCACGTTTTGATTTCCTAGATAGCCCTAATTATGCCACGGGGATCACTCAAGTGGAGCAGGATGCACTCAGCTGCTAAAGATGGTTTGAAGGACTGAAGCTTGGCTTACTTCTCTGTAGTGCGTCCGGTGGGACCAATGGCGGTGCTTTGTGGGGGCTCACGCGAACGAAGGTTGCTTTATTTGGGATATTAATACGAGGAAAAAAGGATTCGTTTGCTCTACTGCATCAACGAATTCCTATGCTAATTTAGACAGGGAATTTTGGCAAAATGTGTAACGTGGCGTGACATGGGTCTTAAAATGACGAGAGACGGACTCGCGTAGACATCCCGCATCCCGCCGATGAGGCTGTGCTGGTATTGAGATAACTGAACATAGATTTTCCTTTGGTTGATGATTATAACATGGGGTGATTTATCTATCGTCAATTAAATACCCTGTGCAGCGAGATAGTATCGAAGGGATCGACTTTGTCATTTTTCCTCAAGTCAACTCTCGTGTCTGACATTTTCCACATTCTCCTCTCTCAAGATGACCTCGAATATTCCCCACGCGAGACCGACAAAAAGGTCAGACAAAATTGTCATTATCGGCGCCGGGCTATTTGGACTGACGGCTGCGTTGGAGCTGCGTAAACGAGGATATGAGCACATCACTGTCTTAGACCGGACACTTCCACCGGCTCCCGACGCCTCGAGTTATGATACATCACGTCTCATCCGTCCGGATTACGCGGATCCCTTCTACTCCAAAATTGCCTACGAGGCAATGGAAAAATGGCAAACCGAATGGAGTCAATACTTCAACAAAAGTGGCTTGGCCATAGTAGCCCATTCAGAATCCCATCCCTACATCGACGGATGTAAAAACACGTTGACTCAGCTCGGAAAGGACCTCAACGCATTCAACAGCTCCGACGACGTACGGAGACATTTCCCCGACTTTACTGGTGGCTCCGTCTGCGGGTACGAGAACAATGACGCCGGCTGGGTCGATGCTGCAGCTGTGATGAAGGATCTGGCGTATCAGTGCATTTCAGCCGGTGTCTCCTTCATCTCAGGACCGAAGGGAACTGTGTCATCGCTCGTCGTGACCGACGGCCAGATCACCAGCGTCCGAGACATCACGGGGGGATACCTGGCCTGCGACAGAGCCATCCTGGCGACGGGGTCGTGGACAAATTATCTTCTCGACTTGCAAGGCTCCGCCGTCTCTGCGTGTCAGCCCGTCGGATATATCCAGTTATCCCCGGAAGAGGCAAAGGAGGTGGCTGCCTCGCCGGTGGTTTTAGACTTTACGTCCGGATTCTTGGTCTTTCCGCCCACGGCGGACCATGTTTTGAAGGTGATGCGTCACGGATATGGCTACGAGACGTCCTACGCTATCTCCGCCCATGGCTCGCATGGAGGGAGTATTTCTGGTCCGAGGCTGATCCCGCGCCGCACGAAGGGGCAGTACATTCCCCCGGAGGCGGATGAGGCCCTACGCGCTGGCTTAGAGCGATATCTGCCTCAGTTCAAAGACCGACCGTGGGCTAAGAAGGCTCTTTGTTGGTATACCGACACGGTTGATGGCAATTTTATTATTGGACATCATCCAAAGATATCGAATTTGTTCCTGGCCACAGGCGGAAGCGGACAGTAAGTTGTCGCAAAGTTTTCATTTTTCTCTATTACAGGAATATATATCGCTAACAATCCATTTTAAGTGCCTTTAAGTTTCTCCCAGTGCTCGGAAAGTATGTTGTCGATGGTCTTGAGAATGCTCTACCCGACGCTCAGCGTCAACGTTGGGCCTTCAAGCCGTCGGATAAACCCATGTCCAAAGGAGACGGGAGTAGGGCCGGGCCGCCAAGGCGTGTTTTGACTGCTAGCGAGCAGGCAAGACTCTAGGAGTAATCAGTCGGTCTAGTTTTAAACATGGCGATGGTTAGAATAGTCCGAAATAAATTTAAAGCCTATAAATTAGCCCGCGATACGAGAAAACCAGATCTGTATTTCCTTGATTGGACTAAGATTTTGCTGTTTTGCCACATGGTCTCACTGCATAGAGAAATTTATTGCTTTTTTAATGACACGTCTTGATGATAATTTTTCCTCGGATCATGTCATGATAAGAGTTTATAACGGTCCTAATTACAATCCTCAGATGTCGTATCAAATGTAGGGTCTCGTTTGCTCATGGAAGATGGTCGTGGCACTGCATAACAAAGTAGCCCCCGCAATCAAGAAAATGCAATGAGCAGGTAGAAATTTAATACCAATCTGACTCAGGGAATATGCACGATCCGCAGCTAGTAACAATGCTCCTATGCGTTCCGCTCAGCTGGATCTCATTGCGTAACAACTTGTTCTCCCCGATGGCAAGATACTGTACAGGCACAGGGTATCCTTACCATCTCTGTGCTATAAGATGGCACCAACGGGACGACCGGGCTTTCATTTTCCAACCGATTAACATCATTCAGATTAATTGCCTATCAATATGGACCAAACTCAGAACCCGAGCCAGATCCAGCCCGGCCCAGGACTCAATGATCCTGCTATCCCATTGATTCTGTTTCACGATGCTGGTGGCACAGTCTTCCCGTACTTCTGTCTCGGGGATATCAAACGACCACTATTCGGTATTAAGAACCCGCGATTCGAGCGAGGAGGTAATTGGGAGCATGGTCTGCGCCAGATGGGTGTCGTATACACACACCTTGTCAGATCTGCCGTCGCTTCCGGCAAGATCATTCTCGGAGGTATGCGTCCCACTCCGTAACCTTCGGGAAATAGAACTCCAGCTGAACTGAATTCACCTACCAGGATGGTCTCTGGGCGGATGCATCGCTGTGGAAGTCGCATCGCGACTCATGAAATTACCCCAATACACAGTCCAGGGTGTCGTGTTGATTGACAGCGTCTATCCCACCCCTACCGTCACGACACATTACCCACGCACCCTCCCCGAAGTCGTCGCAAGCTTCCAGCTCCCCGAGCAAATGTCAGACGCGCGGCGTGGCCAGGCGCAACAATGTATCCTGGCCGCGCACGAGATGCAGCGTGACTGGCGTCCGCCGGCATTCTCGGAACGACCTCCCCCGGCTGTCTTGATCAAAGCGGCGGATCCGGTTCATGAGAATGCTGAGCACTCGCTGCATTACTTTGATCGGGTCAGGGACTGGGAGTATCTGGGTTGGGAGGACTATGATACGAGCTTTATCGTGGCCACGATGGATACTCCGGGGAATCATTTTACGATCTTTGATGACCCGAATGTATAGTGTTTTTTCTTCGTATCCTGGGTTGGATGATTTGCTAATGGGCTCGATAGGCCGAACATACGACGAACAAAATTCGTGAAGCGTGCTCTTTATTGACCGAGCCCCATCCATAGGGTATATTGGATTTGCACTGGCATCGGAATGGATGGGGATACGATGGTTGAGGAAGCGACCTGTATACAGTTCAAACTTTATTCAGCATCTAATTTATCAACTGCATTTATCAGTATTAATAATTCTGCGAACACTGTGTAACAATCGAGTAAGATCGACTTGCCTTGATGATCAAAAACCGTTCCCGATGGAGTGGTGCACAAGAAACGTGTTAAATTACGGACAAGAGATCCCGGACATTTTTTACATAGTGTCACTGTACAACCATTGCACAAAAACACGAGACCCAGGAAATCCGGTGTCTGTTTATTCAAGTCATCGTGCATAATGTAAGACCAAGCAGCAACTATGACACTTGGCATGATCCGCGAGGGCAATTTCCAATGCACAATCAACGTCAAAGCTGTAACGGGGCGACCCAATCGTGTATTGTATTTTTATAGTGGTCCGGTCAAGGACCCCACTGCTCTATTAAATAACAAATGTTTGTCTATACAGGAGGTGAGAGGTATGTCAAGCCCGAATCAAATAACCCCTCGGAATGACCCTTCCAGAGATAGTCTATCGTACTGTTTATAATATGTGCGTTGAGATCTCGATTCTGGATCAGATCTGTCGCTAGCGGATTGAGGGTATTTAAGAGCTCGACGACATCTGGGCAATTGCCTGCAATGTGTTCACTGATCTGTTCGAGGAATTGGACCGTGACAACGGTGTTTTTTCTGCATTGCTGATCAGCCAAGGTTTCCGGGAGGAGGACGGGGAAAAAGAAAACATACACCATTTTCTCCAGCTTACGCGAGCAAAGGAACAAAACTGCAGGGCCCAAATGCCTCGTGAGCACCGCCCATCGCTTCCCGAAGCGCTTGCGGTTGTGGAATCTCGCGCGTAAATTCGACCGTCGCTGTTCGTCGCACGTTGACCATTCCGGATGGATCTCGTCAAGTAGCCGATCGACTATTAGAGAAGCATGGCCTCTACCGCGCCGCGTGGGCCCATCTCCGCATTCGTCTGCTTGGTTGATGTTTTCGTATTCTGTGTGTAGTTGTATTAGGGCTGCCCGATTCCGGATAGGGTCATCGCCCATGCGTGGTTCCAGTTGGCAGATGCACGAGTATGCGTCTGCTAACCGGTCGTATTTGGTATGTCGTTGGTTGGGTAATACGACTGTTTCTTGGTGCCATATCCCACTAGTCTGCCACCGGGGCAGGTTCGATATTAGATATTCGGCGTAATCTGCTCGGATGTAGGCATTCTGCACGGGCGTCCCGGTCAGAATTTCCGGTAAATGCGGCGTTGGACCCTGGCTCGTTGGGTGAGCTAGGGAATGCTCAGAGCTTCTTGGTGATACCGTCGAGGCTCCGTCGGGCTCTGTGAGTGGGGATGGGTGCTGGTTGTAGAATAATGAAGGGGTGTTGTATGTGTCATGAATACTAGCCCTAGAAGGGCTACTCGTTGCGGCGAGGTGGTGATCAGTGTGATTCGTATTACTGAAGTCTGACAGATGAACCGGGCTCTGTAAAAGATCTGAAAGTATTCCAAGTTAGGCAATTTCTCCAGACAATATCCTGCATGTCTAACTTACCCTGGGGAGGCTGAGAGTACGGCGAAAGAGAGCCGGAGAAGTCCATATTATTCACAGGGTCCCCGATGAGCTCAAACTCATCCCCTGAAGGAATCGTTTCTACTCTACTCTCATGCGATGTGTCCATACATAGTTGCAGGTCCCAAGCTTCTGGAAAGCCAGTTGGACAGGAGTCCAGACGGACCACATCAGGTAATTCGCCCGCCGAAATGGGGTATTGCGTACTGATCAAATGTTTAGCTGACGTACCGAAGCATCTGGTATGAACCCTGCAACATAGGATAATGAAATCCCATGTCCTACTGCAGCATGAAAAGGGAAAGTGGAAATTACCTTTCCTCCACGATTAGAATTAGCACCGGTTGTGCCGGAGCGTCGGTTATCATCGTAGGCGGAGCCGCTTGGATAGTGTAAGGAGCTAGACGACTGGCCAATACCTCAAGTCCCGCAGCGTTGGTTGTCTCCAGGAAGTTCTTAATTGCTTCAACGAAATATTTCTTGGCGTCAGGGTGGACCGGCTCGTCCATTGCGTCGGCTCGGACAATCTCGGTCGCATCAACAATCATGGTCGCGTAGGGATTTGTGTGATACCCCGGCTGCGGCTCTTTACAGTGGTTTCCAACATCTTCTGCTCGATTGTGTTTATGTATTCAGTCCCCATTTCCGCCGCCTTGTCGAAGTCAGATGTGTATATGCACGTCGAGCACACCACATGCCCAAAGGGGTATAAAGCGTGCAGGACAGGTGGCAATGCTGGCTCATTGGGGGCTATAGGGGCAAGCTGTTTTAGTCTTGGTCTTACTCTCGGCCACAGCCTACAGGACTACACGGAGTACTCAATAATGTACGGAGTATGTCCGGGTAAGCTGCACTTCCTCCTACTCCGATCGGCCAAACTTGACGCGAGCCGGCAAATGGGAGGATGGCGTCCGCTCCACGTTGTTGCGGCTCAGCTAAGTTTAAACCCCCAACCCCTGTCTGCTGAATTAACGGTCAATTCGGCAATCGATAGCCAAACTTTAGCAGGCTTACTGGTTGTACGATCGTGAAGACTTAACTATTGTTCAACTAAGTGCTGTGCCATGCGCCATCCCGATGCACTCACAGTGAGTTAGTGAGCCACGCCTGCCCCCTCAAACAGTGGCACAGCTGAAACAGCACTTGGCTCGTAGTGCCAATCCTCAGCTCACTAAAGCGGCCCGGATTTCACAATACGAAGCCGCCAACCAGTAATCGTTCTGGGAGTGTCATCATCTCGCCCAGAATGCACTCTGCACCAGTCAGAATCCGCCATTGCTGCTTTGTCAGCCCCAATTTTTCGTTGGCGGAAATCAACAAAACTGCATTATCCTTGGGAGGCTAACCACAGCTTCATTGCAACCGCTACGTTTGAAACAAACGAGATTGATAAGGCTGCCTCTGGTTCTCGGGCTAATCAGCCTGACTTTAAATCCTTCAAGCTTCAAACGGAAGGTCATTCGACATATGGACCCGGGGACACGGTGATATATATGCGGCCGACGGCGGGCTGAAAGCTCCATGTGACAACAGGGTACCCTAGTTCTCCATGCATGTTGGCATGCACGCAGACATTAGGTTGTCTCTGCAGATGCCTGCCAAACTGTACCTAGCCCCCATAGGCTACTGAAGACGTCTCCAAGGACTTGTTAGCCTGGATATTCCGAGCAAGGATCTAGAGCCAAGAGACCCAAGACTCCAATCGGAAGGTAAAATACCTCCGCCACTATACCTCGTGTTCTGCAATCAGCTTAAGTTTAGGCTGCAGATCCCACGCTCTATTCGACGATCGAGCCTGGGATCTGGCGACCTAGTGGTAAGCTGACAGCACTAATTAAAAGCTACAGAAACAAGGATGCGTTCTTGTTCTTGGTAGCGCTACTCTAATCTAGGGAGGCGCATCAGACGAACGGATGAGGCCACCCGGGAGTTGAGCTGACGTGACGTGACGCGTAGGAGGCGAGGTTGAGGAGCTGAGACAGTTGATACGTGGAAGGTGAGATACTATCTGTGAGGTGGTGATGGATGTCTAGCGTTTCAGTTCACGTATTTGCAGGTTGTAAGTATTTCGTTGATGTGGATTGCTAGGGCGAGTCATCACTTAGGCTGCTGTGGCTCCAAGGATGACAGACGGGGGGTCTATACGTGTTGAGAGAGCTGGAAACATCAGTTTGTTACACCCTTATAGATTGCTTAAACCCCTTCCTGAAATGCCATGATTGCTGTTTGAAAGTAGCATTGGTATCGTTGTTTTCTTTCTGTCTTGACCTTTATCTTTACCAGACCCCTGTCTTGTAATACCTCCTTGTCTTTCCAACACTCGCTACTATAAATCAATCTTTGCTATAGACTTGACATCACGGCGATATTTATTCATTCTTCCCTCTCTATATCCTATTCCTCTTTCCATAACCACCCAAAACAAAATGACACCAGCCGAACCAATCGCCATCATCGGTAGTGGTTGCCGATTCCCTGGCTCGGCATCCTCACCTTCCCGACTATGGGATCTCCTCCGAGAGCCACGTAACGTGGCATCCAAACCCCCAGCGGATCGCTACAACGGAGATACCTTCCACTATGGCGGGAAAAAAAGTTTACCACCTGGAATGATCAGTTCTCCAGAGTCTTATTTCCTGGAGGAAGATGTTCGTGCATTTGACGCGCCCTTTTTCAACATCTCGCCGGCCGAGGCGGCATCGATGGATCCTCAGCAACGGCTACTATTAGAAGTTGTATACGAATCACTTGACCGAGCCGGGCTGCAGCTGAAACGTCTGCAAGGCTCGTCAACCGGCGTGTACTGCGGTGCTATGAACTACGATTACAGCCAGCTGCTTCTATCAGACCAAGATAGCGTGCCTCCATTTATGATCTCGGGTGGTGCCCCGTCCATGCTAGCGACGCGTATCTCTTACTATTTCGACTGGAAGGGGCCTTCTCTCGTTCTGGATACGGCCTGCTCTTCGAGTTTGATTGCTTTGCATTTAGCCGTGCAAGCCCTACAGAAGGGAGATTGCTCAATGGCGGTTGCTGCTGGAAGCAGCTTGATTCTGTCCGTCGATGGCTACGTTTCCTCGTCCCAGGCGAATATGATGTCGCCCTCGGGACGCAGTCATATGTGGGACGAGGCGGCGGATGGATACGCTCGTGGCGAAGGCGTGGCCGCAGTGATACTCAAACGCCTGGACGATGCCGTGCGAGACGGTGATCAGATCGACGCCGTGATTCGGGCCACGGGAGTCAACTGTGACGGACGCACCAAGTCCCTTACGATGCCTAACGGACTGGCCCAGGGTGAACTCATCAGCTCTACCTATGCTGCTGCTGGGCTCGACCCTCTAAGTCCCGCCGACCGGTGCCAATTCTTCGAGGCCCACGGAACAGGTACTCCCGCGGGTGATCCGCAGGAGGCGGAGGGCATCGCGAATGCATTCTTCAACAAAGATTCACCGAGAGACGAGACGATGTACGTCGGCTCGATAAAAACGGTGATTGGTCATACTGAAGCTGCGGCCGGCATTGCTGGTATCATGAAAGCCGCACTGGCCGTTCAGCATGGCGTCATTCCTCCGAATATGCTCTTTAATCGACTAAGCGCTAAGGTTGCACCGTTTGCCGATCACCTCAGGGTTCCGACGAAGGCGCTCCCCTGGCCTGATCTTCCGGTCGGAGCTCCTCGACGAGTGTCGGTTAACTCGTTCGGCTTTGGAGGTGCTAATGCCCACGCCATTGTTGAGAGCTATACTCCTTATAATGCTGTTTCGTCATTACCCGACGCGACTGCCACCACTGCATTCCTTCCCTTCGTGTTTTCCGCTGCGTCCGAAAAATCGCTCAAGGCTGTGCTGCAGCAGTATGTCAGCTGGCTGGAGGAAAACCCGACCGTCGATTTGTCGGATTTGGCCAATTCCCTCTTGACCAAGCGATCGATTCTCAACATTCGGGCCGTTTTCACTGCGGGAACAGTGGAAGAGTTGCTTGAGAAACTCAATGATGAATTGAAAGAATCACAGACAACAATCACCCGACGTCTTAGCCCTGGACCGAAGAAGATCTTGGGTGTTTTCACTGGACAAGGCGCGCAATGGCCGCGTATGGGAATCGATGTCATTGAAGAATGCCCCCAGGCTGCTGTGTGGCTGCAGGGACTCCAGAAATCCCTCGACAGCTTACCTCTTGAATATCGACCAAAGTATACATTGCGTGATGAGCTGGCTGCCCCCGAATCTTCCTCTCGCCTCAATTCTGCCGAGATCTCCCAGCCTGTCCGAACTGCTCTGCAGATAATCCAGGTGAACATTCTACGGTCGCTTGGTATTGAATTCGCTGCAGTTGTCGGGCACTCATCGGGCGAAATTGCCGCTGCCTATGCGGCGGGATGGCTTTCGGCGTCGGACGCTATTCGCGTTGCCTACCTTCGTGGACTGGCGACGATGAACGCAGGTTCGAAGGGACAGCCCGGAGGCATGCTTGCTGTCAACATATCCTGGGACCAGGCGCAGGCTATCTGCGGCGAAGCACCATATAGTGGTCACGTCGTTGTCGCAGCTTCCAATTCTCCGTCTAACGTGACGCTCTCGGGAGACGAAGACCTGATCTCCGAGCTGGAATGGCTTTTCGAGAGCCTTGAACAGACTCCTCGCCGCCTGCGCGTCGACACAGCATACCATTCCCACCATATGATTCCATGTGCGGAGCCGTACTTGCAAGCCATGAAGGCCTGTCAGGTTCAGACCCGCCAGGGCTCGTCGACAACGAAGTGGTTCTCCAGCGTCCACGATGCGGCGGAAATGACCGCCCTCGAGCCTAAGTACTGGTGCGAGAATATGCTTCAATCAGTGCAATTCTCGCAAGCCTTGACAGCGGCTCTGAAAGACCAACCAGATCTTGATGCGATCGTGGAAGTTGGACCCCATCCTGCCCTCCGAGGACCTGCGCTTCAGACCGTATCGACAATCAAGCCTAACGATGCCGACGTGCCATACGTTGGGCTCGGTAAGCGCGGAACCACTGGTATCGAAGCCATAGCACTTGCACTAGGATCTTTCTGGGCGCATCTTGGACCAGAAAACATTGACACTAGCTCTTTCGTCCGGCTCTTTTCACTTTCGCGGGAGCTGAAATTCCTTCCATCGCTTCCAACGTATCACTTTGATCATGGCCAGACATACTGGGCTGTGTCGCATCATGCTAGTGCACGCACTCATCGGTGCCTACCTCGTCACCCCATCCTAGGCACTACGAGTCCTGAAACGGGAGAAGGGGAATGGCGCTGGCGGAACTACCTGCGTGTCCAGGATCTAGAATGGATTGAGGGCCACAAGGTCGAGTCTCAGATCCTTTTCCCAGCGACGGGCTATCTTGTTATGGCATACGAGGCAGCTCATATAATTGCTAAGGATCGAGTATTACAGTCTGTGGACATTCATGATCTAGCTATCGATCGGGCAATCGCCGTTCCAGATACTAGCATGGGCGTGGAAACGCTGTTCACACTCTACAAAACCGACGGCGAGGATGATAACATTTTAACCGCTTTGTTCGCCTGTCAAGCACGGTTTAACGATGCGTTCCGCTGCTGTGCCACCGGCCGTCTGGAGATCAGATTCGGCGAGCAGGACGAGGCCCTGTTGCCAGCTCTTGGCCCTCTTGTTGGTGGGCTGCAGAAGATTGACTCGGAGCATTTCTACGGAGAGCTTGACAAGCTTGGATATGGCTATTCGGGACTATTCCGCGGACTTGGGTTCATTCAACGCCGTAAGGACATTGCCTACGGTACTATCCCCGTCCCCAGTACAGAAGAAGATGACTCGAATCTGCTGGTCCATCCTGCCAATCTTGATACCAGCCTTCAGGCGCTGATGGCTGCTTTCGCGTATCCTGGTGACGGTCAACTGTCCGGCCTGTTCCTTCCAACTCACTTGGCACGCACCTCGATCAACCCGGGCCTTTCCCGTGGTGGGAGTCTGCATGTTCCTCAGAAGCATCTTACCGTTGAGGCCAAGCTGTCGGATGTTGGCAAGACTGGGCTAACCGGTGATATCCATCTTTTCGATTCTGATGGCAGAGGTTTCGTACAAATTGAGGGTATGCACATCTCGCCACTCACCCAGCTCAACCCAGAAGAATGGCCGATGTTCGTTGAGGAAGTCTGGGGTCCCCTGCTGCCGACAACCTCGCTGGCAAGCTTCAATAAGTCGACCACGCCACGGAATCACGCCTCTCTTGATCTCTGTGACCGCCTCGCGCTTCTCTATCTTCGTGATGCTCAAGCCCAGTTGACTAGCGAAGATCGTCAACAGCTCGACGACCATCGGGCACGGTATGTGGCATGGATGGATCAAGTCCTTGCATCCGTTCGCGGAGGCACGCATCCAAACTACTCGCCTAACCACCTGGAAGGAGATGCAGCCTCTATTCTCGGTCGCGATATTCAGCGTGCCAAGCCCGTTGAGATCTTGACCTTGGAAAAAGTCAACGAGAATCTTGTTCCTTGGTTGCGAGGCGAAGTAGATCTCATGGGAGAGCTTCAGCGCCAGGGTGACCTCCTCGCCAGATTCCAGCAAGAGTCTAGCTCCCTGGCTACCATGAAGCAGAATCTTGCGACTCTTGTCGGCCAGCTCGCTTTCCGGTACCCTCGCATGAAGATCCTCGAGGTTGGAGCTGGTACAGGCGCAGCCACCCGCTTAGTCCTGGACCAGGTTGCCCGGGACTATCATTCGTACACGTACACTGACATGACGTCCGCCTCATTCGAAGAGGTCCAGGAGACATTTGGCGCCCACAGCGATCGCTTTATCTATGAGACCCTCGATCTGGAAAAAGATGTTTCGGAACAAGACTTCTCAGAGAATTCATATGATCTTGTCATTGCCAGCAATGTTGTGCATGCGACAAGTTCATTCAGCGCAAGCATGTCCCGTATCCGACGTTTGCTGAAGCCCGGTGGCCGTGTGGCCATCATTGACATGACCCATCCGGAGCAGATTACTTCTCCGCTTATCTTTGGTGGTCTTGAGGCTTGGTGGCGTGGTGACTCTGATGCTCAACCATCAGGTCCTCTGGTTTCCCGGGACAACTGGGACCAGATCCTGAAGTCCAATGGCTTTGGAGGATTTGAGGCCGTCTCGTCGGTAGAGGAATCTAAGCGCTTTGGCATGTTTGTGTTCACTGCCCAGGCTGTCGACGATCATATTCAACGATTGCAACAACCTCTCGCGGTTCCCGCTAAGCGACAATATCGCGATCTTGTCATAATCGGCGGAGCGACCGAGACCACCGCAAAGCTGCTTCCTGTAGTCCAAGAGGTGGTAGGCCCTTACTTTGCCAGGATCACCGCCGCAAGCACTCTTGAAAACTTTGTTCCTCCTGAGAATGCCTCCCTGGCTGCTGTTCTCGCCGTCTCTGATATTGATCGTCCCTGTCTGCAGGACCTCACTGCAGATAGGTTCACAGCCCTGCAGCAACTTGTCGGAGTAACAGGAAAGCTACTGTGGGTGGCCACCGGCAATCCAACCGAGGAGCCGTACCTGCGCATGAGCAAGGGTTTCCTGCGCTCTGTTAGTTTGGAGAATCCTCATGCTCAGTTCCAGCATCTCGCCGTGCAAGACTCAAGTGCTTTGTCGCCGGATCTGGTCGCAACTACTTTGATGCGATTGGTGCATTGTGACGCTGGAAGCGATTACACTCTTCCGAACTGCACCGAGAATGCAGAATGGGAGCTCTTACTGGAAAAAGGAGTGTTGAAGATCCCTCGCATGCGGACTGGCCGTGACATGAACCAGCGATGGCTCACAAGTCGCGGAGTCCCGAATACCCGTCATGTGGAGCCTAGTGAGACGTGTGTTGAGGTGCGTCCAGCTGATGATGCGGTCGAGGGGTCGCCATTGTCATTGATATCCTCATTTGGTGCGACACGCTATGATCCTAAGGTCGAAACTCAAGGATTGAAGGAAACCACCGTTCGCATCCGAGTTCACTATGCCACTCTTCCTGCTGTACGGGCTGGAAGTGGTTTCTTGCATCTTATTCTAGGTGAAAACGAGCAAACCCGGACTCGTGTTGTCGCCTTGTCAGTGCACCACGCCTCCGTTGTTTCGACTCCTGCCTCATGGTGTCGCCCAGTTCCTAGCTGGCTACCTGAGAAATATGAAGCTGGATTCTTGAACGATCTCAGTTCGGCCCTGGTTGCCAGGCATTTGGTTAGTCAAGCGAAGACAGAGTCCACTATTTTGATCCACGAAGCTCCTCAGGCGCTCCAGGACGCAGTCTGTGCGATGGCCTACTGCCATGGCATCAGGGTTCGCTACAGTACCGGCAATCGACAAGCCAGTCAAGGTCCTGGAGCGTTAGTTATCTCTCCTCGAAGCTCAGTTCGCGCTATCAGTCGTCTTCTTCCCACGGGTGTGTCAGTGCTCGCTTCCTTCAAGCCTGATACTGATGGGTCGCTGGCCCGCTTGCAGTCCTCACTGTCACCGGAGGCGACATACTGGGGTTTGAAGGACTTGTACGGAACCTCATTCGCTCCTGCAGCCAAGCAACAGCCCATCTTGGAGGATGCTCTGGCAGCGAGCAGCCTCTTCGCCGAACAGCGCAGCCGATTTGAGACTGCCGTTGACACACTGACCCCTGAGGATATCCCAACATATCCCGTTTCCAGCCACAAGTTGGAGATCATTGATTGGCTTCACTCTGGCCCGGTCTCAACGAACAGTGTCCCATCTAGTTCGCTGGTCACTCTGAGTAGCGAAAAGACTTTCTTGCTGGTCGGTATGACTGGTGACCTGGGTCGCTCAGTCACCCAGTGGATGATCACCCGCGGAGCTCGTACGATAGTTCTTACCAGTCGTTCTCCGAAGGTGGATTACGAATGGGTAGAGGAAATGGCAGATCTGGGTGCCCGTGTTGAGTTCATGGCTATGTAAGGATTCTTGGTTTCTATTTTCTCTATCCGCACTTGACCGCTAATCACTATAACAGGGACGTATCAAACCGCGCCTCGGTCCTCAGAGTCCACAACCACATCAAGTCTGAGTTGCCACCCGTCGGTGGAGTGATCAATGGCGCAGTCGTTATGCGTGACGCCGCATTCACTGATCTGTCATATACCGACGTCCTCCGGGTGTTCGGCCCCAAAGTCGAAGGCAGCCGCATCCTCGACGAGTTGTACCAAGACTCCGACCTGGATTTCTTCATTCTAATGGGCTCATTCTCCGGACCGAACGGTAACTTTCACCAAACCGCCTACGCTGCTGCCAACGAGTTCATGGCCGCGCTGATCAACCAGCGCCGTCGCCGGGGCCAAGTCGGCAGTATCATCCACCCTGCGCAGATTCAAGGTCTGGGTCTTATTCTCGCCATGAACGCACACATGAAGAACGTGCTCGCTCAACAACTCGGTCCCATGGCTCTCTCGGAACGTGATATTCTCGAACATTTCGCAGAGGCCATCTTAGCCGGACGGCCTGACTCTGGACGTGTGCCTGAGATTGGCGGCGGATACCGTATGACAGACCCAGTCGAGTTCCCTGATGTTGTCTGGTACCGGAACCCGAAGCTGTGGTCTTTTATTCGCCACTTTAGAGAGTCTGGCGCCGTTGACACAAATCGGGAGGATGTGCCTATCAAGCAGCAGCTCTTGACTGCTGACGGTTTGCCTGCTGCGGCGGATATCATCGCCGATGGGTTCCGTGGGACTCTCCGGCGTAAATTGCATTTGCCTAGTGATTCAGCGCTACCGGGAATCACGCTGTTGACGGAGTTGGGCGTGGACTCGCTGGTTGCAGTTGATTTGCGAATTTGGTTTGTCAAGGAGCTGGGTGTGGATGTGCCGGTGTTGCAGTTGCTTGGAGGGTCTTCGATTGATGCGCTGGCTGAGAGTGCCGCTGGAAAGTTGGATAAGGAGCTGGTGCCACTGATCAAGACGGAGGAGGTGTCTAATGGGGTTACAAATGGTGCTGAGACGAATGGGGCTCATAGTAATGGTGTGCATGCTAATGGGCATTCCTGATCGAAGATGGAGCCGATGCTGTGGTCTAGACTAGGCGTTATGGTATTCAAAATGTTGATTTAGTAAAATTTTTAATAAAGAATCTGTAGCTCAATGCCTCATTCCTGAATTTATCCGTCTGAATCGTAAAGTTGTCATATGTGATCAATGTAGATAGACGAACCCGTACATATTGTGGGTTGTCTTGACGTCCAACGCTTCTCGCAGACGGCGTAGATGGTTTAAAATAGATGCTTGTCCAAGGCCAATCAACGAATTCTTCTCTTACGCACTCTGCGTACAAGGGCTGATGTGTCCAAAAGAAATACTAATCTTAGTCAGATCATCTATATATAACTATGGGTTTTCCCCCCTCCTATTGCTCCCTTCTCTCGTTATCCGTGTTTACTCCTTCGAACCAGTTCCGTCATGATTTCCTCCACGCCTCCCATCTCCCACGACGTGGTCAGTTTTGCTCTGGACGCTCGAGCAGACTATGACCCCTCGGAAGCTCTCTTTATTGATGCTCAGTATCCAAGTCGATACCTGAATGGACTTCAATTTCCTCTACTTGTCCGTACACTTATAGCTGGTCTCAAAGCGCATGGTGTTGAAAAAGGAGACTGTGTTGTCGTCCACACGGGGAATAATGTAACTGATCTCTATTACCTGTCATCTTCAGAACAAACCTAACGTTATCTTCCTTAGGTCCTATACACTGCCCTCTTCCTCGCCATCATCGGCACTGGTGGAATTTACATGGGATCGAACCCTCACAGTTCCGTGGACGAATTCAATCGTGTCGTCCAACTGACGAAACCGCGGCTTATCATTACCGAAGAAGACGCTCTCTCTACTGTACTCGCTGTCTCCGACAAGAACAACATCCAATCCCAAAAAATTTTCATTATTCACGATGCAAGCATCGACGCCACCATTGCCTTCGCCCACGGGAAAGGTCAACTCCCTGTCCAATCTCCCAACACTCATTCTCCACCAAGCATCACATCCTTCCTCTCCCACCAAACCGCTGATCATGTCCTTATCACCGACCCTGAGACCGCCAAATCCGCACCAGCAGCTCTCTACCTCACCAGCGGCACTACCGGCCTCCCAAAGGCTGCCGTGCTTACCCATGCGGCGCTCATCGCCCGCCACCACGCAATCCTCTACACCCCTCCTTACAAAATCACCCGGCTTGTCTGCCTACCCATTTTCCACGTCTTTACCTCGCTGTGGACACATCTATTCCCCATTCGATACGGTCACCCGCTTTACATTCTGCGGGGGTTCCAGCTCCCCGTCTTCCTGGACACCGTGAAGCGGTACCAGATTAGCGAAACGTACCTCGTTCCTGTCGTGGTGCACGCATTGAACCAGGGCCCTGCATCGCTGGACGTCGTTCCCTCGCTCTCTTCACTCCGATATATCGGACTCTCCGGTGCCCCTATCGATCGAGACTCCATGGCTGCATTTCAGGATATCCTGCACCCCGATGCTTGTGCCGGCCAAGTCTGGGGAATGACGGAGTGCGGCGTTGTCATTCAAAACCAGTATCCCGAGACTGGAAGACTGGGGCAGGGTGACCTCGGTAGCATCGGGCGTGTTTTACCCGGGTACGAGGCTAAATTGGTTCCCACCAATACTGATGGTGTCTCCGCCGAAGAGAAACTGAACAAAGACGGGACCAAGGGCCAGAGAGTATCCGGTCAACTGCATGTTCGCGGGCTGGGCCTTTTCAGTGAGTACTTGGGTCAGGGAGAGTCCGTGGTCGATGACCAGGGTTGGTTCAGTACCGGCGATGTCGCATATGTTAATGATCACGGTGAGTACGTGATTGTGGGTAGAACGAAAGAGTTGATTAAAGTAAGAGGGTAAGTCGCTATCTCGTTCCTCTGTGAGTAGTTCCAATATGAGCTATCATGCTAATAACAAGCAGCTACCAAGTTTCTCCCGCGGAAATCGAAGCCGTGCTGCTCAAGCACCCGCTTATCACCGATATCGCTGTCATGGGAATCACCCTTTCTGATGGCAGTACCGAGGCTCCTTGCGCCTATGTTGTGCGCACCGGAGGCACCAAGGGCAAACTGACGGCAGAGGAAGTGTTTGACTTTGTGCAGCAGCGGTTGGCAAGTTACAAAGTGCTGGACGGTGGTGTTTATTTCGTGGAGCGGATCCCGCGAACAGTAAATGGCAAATTGCAGAGGGGGAAGCTGGCTGAGTTGAACAAGCAGCGAGAGATGCTGGCGGGATTGTTGGGAAAGATGAAAATGATCAGGTAGATAGCTATGCGATTGTTGGCATTTGATTTATGTTCTTTTTAATAAGATTGCATGTTGAGTTTGAAAAAGGAATGAAAGTATTATGAATGACGACGTGCTAGTTTTCCTTTCCATGCCTTTATCTTTTCTTCCAATATATGTCTTATCGTCTATGTCATTCAATGCGAAGCCCTTCTCATCATCTCTCTTCCTCCGACCGAACGAATATTTGTACTATTTACCCTACCTCAGGCAGCCCAGAGAGGACAGAAATTACCAGATAACTATTACAATAAAGGGGCGTACTGCGACTTTTTGTATAATATAATGTTCTCCTCATATTTGCGCCTAAAATAAAACCTAATATAACCATAAATCACAAGGTGGAGACGACAATCAAGTCAACTTAGGCTTCCTCGCCCGGAAAACCAACACGGCACCAACAACCCAAGCATCAACATCGTCAAACTCATTCATTAATTCCTTCTTGAACACCTCCGGATCATCACCAGAGTTCCCAAAGATACCCTTGTAATTATACAAGCCCATTGTTATTTTCCCAAACCAGTTGTGCTCCACACGCTGGCCCAGGATCGTCGCTCCGAACAGCGTCCCATCCGGCTTCAGATGCTCTTTCAGGTGGGCAAAAACAGTCGCTTTCCGCGCACAAGGCGGTGGCAAGCAATGAAGAAGGTACATGAGCGAAATGGAGTCATATTTCCGTGACGCAGTGGTGCCGGGTCCGGCGCCGTCCGCGGCCGGCACCTTGATGGGCTCGAACACGTCGGCTTGGATTGTCGTGGTGCGCTCGGGACAGCCGACGCGGGCGGCAGATCGCTCGAGACAGAGAGTGTTCATGTCCACGAGAGTGAGGTGCTGGGGCCAGGACTCGCCCTTCTGCATCACGCGTTGGCGGTGGTGCGCGGGGAAGTAGCCGGTTCCGACCCCGATATCGAGATGTCGCTGGCCAACGTTGGCAGAGAAAAATTCATTGAGGAAGGAGGAGGGACAGCGCCAGACATAGTTGTCGTTCCACCAGTGGACCATTATATCGTAGATGCGGAGGCCGAAGCCGTCGTAGGCGACGGTGTAGCCGCTTTCCATAGTGATGGCAGTGGAGCAAGAGAGAATAGGTGGGGGAGGTGAGAATATGATTTAATGGACCGAAGATGTAAGAGTATGACTCGGTTTAGATGTCGTGATGGTTTTTGAGGAATTGGGTATTGAATGAAAATCTCAAAGGGCGAGAAGCATGGTACTTATCCAAAGACATGGCGGCCCGTAAGCCCCAACACAAACACAACTCAGATCGCTGCCGCCTACCATTTAACAAGCTGAAGGCTAGACCGCTGACAGACCCAGCTAGGAAGCACCTCAAAATACGAACAACATTCTCTTCTTGTCAGATGAAATAAGTGGTATCCAATCATGGCCTTATCATAGAAATTCAGCACTATCATGGAAATGTAGACGGATTCCTGATTGATTTTTGGTTGATCAATTTTCCTTTGGTCGACTTGCTATAGACAGCGCTAGTGGCGTAAGCTAGGCACTAAAATTGACCGTAGTCGCGAATTATGATTTCATTGATCCGCAAATAATTTGGGGGCGGTACCCAGGAGGCTTTTGCCGCTATCTGTGGATATTAATCAATGAAATCAAGACATAAATGATTCTTTGACCTGCTGACAAGACTCTGAGGTTCTCTTTCGTATATCTGGAACGTGTTGCGATCAAAGGCTGGCTCAATAAAATATGAACAGGGGTGAAGATCCCGCCTCATAAATGCCGAGCCAAGAAGTTGAACATCCCAAACTTGTCTAGGAAACGAAAGCCCTACTCAAGAAAATGCATGTCCCCGCCTATATTAAAGTCTAATAAACCTAAAGTACACTACTTTTAGTGCTATAAGTGGCAAGAGTCCTATTTATGATTCCCCATCATAATCATATGTATCTATCCATGATTCAGAAGAGACTTTCGGGAATTTGCTGGACATCAAACCCATGTTCCAGCCAGTGTGGCAAGTAGTTCACTTCGGAGCCATGGTCTGATAATTCGGGACCTTGGAATAAAATAGAATGCTCAAGGAGATTAGAAATTCCAAAGTTTGGTAGCTCCGAGGAATGGTTCAGAGCGATCACGACTGGCACATTGTTATTACTGTTCAGACATTAGGAGACGATCAGCAGAGAGTGAAAAATCGGAGATAGACAACATACACTAGCCTTGGGAAGGAATCGACCAAGTTTTGATCCTGTTCGAAGAAATGTTCAATTGATACCAATGCGTCCTTGGCGACTTGCATGATATCCATACTGATAGCTTTCCCCATAATTGGCCCGATGTGTTCAATTTAATCCAGGCATTGGATCCCATGTTCCACCGTCTTGAAAACAGAATCGACATTCTGTGTTGCTGTCCGGGAATCAAAGACATCATAAAGTGAAGTGACACAGGCTGAGGCAAGAAAAGTGGCACATGAGCCGTCAAAACGAATGTCGGGGTATCGTTTAAAATAGACGTCGTGGGCGAAGTCGATGAGGCTTCTCGCTGCGGATGTGGATGCTTTCACGGATTTCTGGATCTTTAGAAGACCAGCTGCATTCCGTTCTGCCTCTGCCGTGGAACTGAAGAATGTCGGTAAAACTAACGTCGGTCGGTGCCCTTCGATGCCTTTTGTGAGACCATCTCTCACTGAAGTAAATCCGGACTGGCTGTGAAATACTCGAAGCAATTCCTCGGCTCTTCCACGGAGTAGGACCTCAGTTCGATCCCTTACTTCATTTTTAGGTGGATCCGGAATACTCTTATTGTTTGGACGAAGACCGCGAATCATAGTGACGGTATCTGTCCAGTTTCTCTGCTCTCAAAACGCAAAGATCCGTTCGGACTTGACGGTGTCATCCAACAGGCCGAGCGCACAGAGTCGAGCAGTATCCTCAACATCGACATACCATTCTAAGAGGAGTTAATTTCTCGAGGTTTGAGGATTATGTGAAAATGGGCTTGGGAGAAAGACCCACGTCCAGGGAACTTCGAAAACGCTGTGCTGTCGCCTTGAAGCAACTCGCGAACCGAGCCCATTGTAGAACCCAGTATTTCAGGGTGAAGAATTTTGCCCACCTATGCATTCATAGTCAACGGAGAATGGGTGTTTCCGAATTTGAAGATGTACTAACAACAAAGCATGGAAGGACCGTATTGAACTCGAAGTGCGGACGATGAGACTCAACCCACTTCCACGACTGCCGCTCTCCTTCTGTTTTCGACGCTGCATATACTGCGACTGCTCGTTCTGACAAGGGAGTATTATCATCCCATGCAGCTCTGACAGCGGCATCATTCCAAATATCTGTAGGAAGTCTGTTAACAAGGCACTGATCGGCCCCGGAATTACCGGGGAGTTCCTAATGCACTCACCGGAATGAAGCTGACGTCCTGCAGGGTCCGGAGTCAAGGGGTATGTTGCACTTGAAGACGATACCAAGACCACCCGCTTGATTGAAGGCTTCCGCGACGCAATTTCCAGGATACTCAGGGTAGCCTGAACAACCCACGGGATCACCGCATTAGGGTCACATCCAAAGGTCAAATCAGAAGCCTGCCGTTGATTCCGTATTATCAGACTGGGCTCTTTTTTCTTTTTCTTTTACTCAAGGAGAGGCCCGAATAAGTTGATACCAAGTGAATGACGGATCAATTCCGTCTAGTGCACTTTCAATAACGCCCATGTCCTCAAAAGAAGGCACAATGACTGTTTCGAAACATCCAGACCCATACTTCTGGTCGAAATACTGATTCAACCAGGGCTTAGAGCCGCGAATAGTCCCCCGCACCATGTATCCAAGGCCAAGCAACTGATCGACGACATGGGAGGCGATATAGCCATTAGCACCTGTCACGAGGATTCGACTACGTAACGCATGTTGGTTCGTCATATTGTAAAAACGTAACAGGTGACCTCGGAGTGGCTATCTCAACTTTTAACCAAGCTGTTCAGGATTTGCTTCAGGAAACCCATGGATCCGCTGTGAGTGGCGGGCGGGAGTCATAGATTAACAATTACCTCGGATCTACATGCCGGAATTACGACCGGAATTGCTCAATGATCGCCACCGAATTCACACTCCATTTCATTGCCTAATGGCGTAGTTTAGAGAATTGCCAGAGGCCTCTTCAAAGAGCTATGAGGTCACTCGCTGCGTTGAATTGTCCTTGCTTGTTTGGTTGAACTAGCGAGGTTTGGTGAAATGTTCCAAAAAGCAGAAAGAACTAGAAACAAAAAAATAAAATCAAAAACATACAACAGCAGGGATTCGCTGGTGGTCACCCACCCAACTACTAACCTGCCGGCGTGTGGCTTAAGTACGGCTGAGCGGACGGGAAGCCCTGTTCTCCACACCCTGTGGTCGTATGTACTTAACATGGAGAAGTTGTGGGCTATATAGATAAGTGAGTATTCACTCATCTTGTCTTGAAAATGTGTACCATACCCCGGGTTCGACATATAGATGCCTGAAGCAACCTGCCAAGCTTTCTCCCTTCCTAGTGATTCTCCCACATGTTATATAAAAACCTCTGTACTTATAGTACCGTCGTTTCAATCTCCTCAAATTAAGAAAATCTTTCTTTATCTCCGTGGGTCCACAAATATCCCATATTTCGGTACTTATAAACCCTATCTGCAGTTATGAAATATAACTCAAATAAGGTAACCTGGCACTCCAGGCCGATCGATAAGTCTTTGTTATGATGAGCTACAGATGTCTTCATGACTTACCCCCATAGATGTACCGAAACAGCACCTAGAGTCTGCAGTCATTTCAATGGATAATACACGCTTACATGGTCGGCGAATGTCAAACAATAGCAATTGGATTACGGGAAATTATTGTTCCCCACCACCATTTGCACAGGAAATACTGGGACACGATCCAATTATGCTCACAATTACATTCTTGTGAGAGGGGAATATATAGCGTCTAACCGGAGCAGCTTTGAATTCGTTGGCGATACATATAAATCCCAGACAAATTCGATGAAAACAATTGATTAAGAAAACCACCTGAATGATTTGAGTAATCTTTTGCCGAATGTCTCTCCACTCTATTCAAATTCAAAGTTGTTTGAGACTGTATACATGTTTGAATAGCACTGAAAATGGTATTCCTCACATTCCACATTCCTCGCCGGAGCCCCTTGCCTTTTGTCTCGCTCACAATTCTCCCCCAATCTCAATCATACAATTGGATGACCAGGGCTCTTTATTCTTTATCGTAGACAACCAGCACGAGACCGGACTAATTCGGGGGCGGGGTAGAGAGCTTATCTCCTTATTTGTGCTCGAACATCTTTGGCATGACTTGTGGATAAACCTGTTATTGTGGCGGCCGGGATGTTCGCTAGACCCGAAGTAGGCCTTTCTCCCGAGGCGTGGCGCGCGCCCCGAGCAATTGGCAAACCGCGATGCCGTTTTTCAAAATGATGTGAGGAGAGGATGATCATAGTGACACATGCAAAGAGAGATGCATCATGGATACACAATGATCACCAAGGTATCATGAAGCATATGATAGCTCCTATCCCGCGGTTTTCTTTCTTCTTTCCTTCTGAGGTGGCATTCGGGAGCTTATTCCATTAATCTCCGTAGTAGCACTATCAGAATTATCTGCTAAAATCTGACCGCGCGGACAGAACACTCGGACTTTTCCCATTTTCTGCACAGTAACGTGGAGCATCAACCGAACCGAGGTTACTAGAGTTCTAGCATGGGTTGATACCAGTTGACAGGCCGCCCTGCCATCCTACAAGGGGGTCCAATTGGACAGACTGTGCCTGGATAATATAAATGCCCCGCTCATAACTCCTAGTGCCCTCGTACCCCCACAATTAATGCAAATTCTGTCTTGAAAGTGATTCTCTAGTTGAGATTGCTGAACACCTTGAGGACGAGACTCGCTTGGACAACGAAATATCCTCATGCTCATTGAGGCAGCATAGACTACCACATTATATGGCTGACAACTTGATCGTAGAGGATACTAGATCCAAATCACACTGCCAATGCTGAAGAACCTGCGCACGATAAGCGGCTAGTGAAATAGCGATGTCTTAGCTTCAAAAAGGTTTTGCAGAAAGGGTGGGGCTTCTCGGCTGGGACATCCCCTCGGACATAAATCATCTTATCTGATCATCTGATAATCTCTAACCGCGATCCCCGAAATCCTCCCATTCCCTCATTTCGTTCATTTACGATTTGATAAGAGTCTCTCTGCTTTCACAAAACACAATCATTCGATAAACCGTTCAGGCATCCTATCGTTCACGTTTATATACGCTCCCGACTCAATGGCCAGCGAAGGCCTCCCTAAGGATCAGGATCTCTCCGACCCCGAGACGCAGTATATTTTAGAGGGCAATGCCAGATTTCGTCGGCTGGGATGGAAACGCCTCACAATTATTTCCATAGTGGAGGCAATTGCCCTAGGAAGCTTAGGTCTTCCCTCTGCGTTTTCCACATTGGGCATGGTTGCTGGTGTTATCCTGACCGTTGGTATCGGTCTGGTCGCGATGTATGCGGGTTATAAGATCGGTCAAGTTAAGCTGAAGTACCCTCAAGTAGGACACTATGCGGACGTTGGTCAGCTCCTGCTGGGAAGCGTGGGATCTAAGATCTTTGTGGGTGCTTTTGTGGCCTTATTGATCTTTGTGATTGGCTCGCACTGCTTGACAGGAGCAATTGCTTTCCAGACTATCACTGAAAGTGGCGTGTGTTCAGTTGTCTTCAGTGTGGTTTCCGCGGCAATTCTGATGATTCTCGCCATTCCTCCGTCCTTTGCCGAAATTGCAATCCTCGGCTATATCGACTTTGCTTCCATAATCTTAGCGATTGGGATCACTGTGATTGCAACCGGCATTCAAAGCTCCCATGATACTGGCACTTTCTCTATTGGTAGTGCGCCTTGGTCTGCATGGCCAATAACCGGGATCTCATTTTCGCAGGCAATTGTGGCCACCAACAATATCGTTTTCGCATATTCCTTCGCTGGCTGCTTGCCGTCTTTCATGGAGGATATGCATACACCTGATGACTATGTGAAAACGCTTTGGTGGCTGGGAGGAATCCAGATCGTCATATATACTCTGACCGGATCGCTGATCTACGCTTTTGTGGGGCAGGGGGTGCAATCCCCTGCATTGCTGTCGGCTGGACCCGTGATCTCAAGAGTGGTTTTTGGAATAGCCCTCCCGGTCATATTTATCTCGGGTTCGATCAACACAACAGTCGTGTGTCGATACATCCATGGCAAAGTCTACCATGACTCTGCCGCCCGTTTTATCAATACCCGAAAGGGCTGGATGACTTGGTTGGGTCTTATATCGCTTGTGACAGTGTTAGCCTGGGTGATCGCCGAGGCCATTCCCATTTTCTCGGAGCTACTGTCGATCATCTCAGCACTTTTTGTGTCCGGTCTATCTTTCTACATTCCTCCACTCATGTGGTTTGTGCGTCTGAGAGAAGGAGCATGGTATGAGAAGCACAATCTGCAACCCGCGATCTGTAATCTGGTTGTCTTCATAGTGGGCATGGTTGTCTTTGGCTGCGGTACTTATTCCAGCATCAAAGAACTTGTGAGTATTTCCTCCTTGAACATGCTATCATATACTAAGTTTGTATCTATAGGTTACAAAATTTCAATCGGGGGCCATTAGCAAGCCGTTCACCTGCTAGACAGTGATGACTTGTGATATGAATCCATGTTAAATATACCGTGCCGGACCTGCGATATTTTCAAACGACCATTATTCGGAATCTACGTTGTTTATTTATATTTATATGAAATGTGTTAACGATAACTTGAGTGGAAGTGCTATATGCTCTGATAAAAAAAACAGGATTTGCAAAGCGGGCATCGCACAGCTGTTCACTCTTATGTTCTTGAATTTTCTGAGTTCTATTCATGTCTAATACTCTCACTCCTGAAGGTCTCTTTTGAAGGAAATTTGCGTCATAGTTACCATTGTATGTCATGATTTATAGCAAAAGCAATGTAGAAAGAAAAAAACAATCTATCTATCTCCGTGCGATAACCGATCGCATATCTCGTCCGATGTTACAGTTGAAGCCTTTATCGGCCTTCCTCATGACTTCAGCATCTATGAACGCGCCGCTGCAGCCTTGGACCACTCTTCAAACAGCGGGTGAAGACGGCTAGCTTCGCTATCGGCGACGTCGGAGAAATCGCTGGCAGCTCCGAACGGGTGATAGGGATAAGGTCTGTAAGGAACCAAGAGACTGTCAGACCATGAAAAGCGCATTAAGGCACGAATGTAAATCGTCGCTCACCCATACTCAGGGACAAATGTAATAGGTTCTGATTTGAATGGACCAGTCGCAAAAGCCTCAATAATCTGTTTCCACGAATCTTCAAAAAATCGTCGTTCCTCCTTAAAGACCGGGTTCGTTGGCTCAGGGCACTGCGAGGACTGTGTCGTGCCCATTCTAGCATGGATATGATTGACCTTGAAGAGATCAGCTTGGCATAGATAGACTTCATCGCGAAGGGTCTCGTCGCTTACATGGGGGATTATCGTTCGCAGAAGCTCCTTGTCTTCCTCGCCTTGATCCAGCAGCCGTTCGCAGACAACAACGAAGTGGGAAAAGTCGGCCGTCACACGCAGACTGCCATAACTCGTTAGCAGTAAGCTTCAACATTAAGGGCATCCTGATCTTACCTAGGTACTCTCTTCAATACCTTCGCGGTTGTGTATGGACCGAAAAAGGCTCGGTTCCGGTGAGTCTCGTGACAGACCTTGCCCTGAAGCCCGAGCTCGGCATCGACGACCAGGGAGCCCTCGAAGAATTCGACCGCCTCGTCAACCGTCCATTGGTCGCTGGATTTATACGTATGAGCATGGAATTAAAGCACGCCGAGATGATGAACTCACTCTCCGGAATGCGCATTGACTTTGCATGGCTTGAGCGTCTTGGCGCGCTCCAATTGTGTGCGATAGCCGACCAGGTGGTCTTTAGGTGTGAGGCCCGCGGGCTTCGGACCGGCATACATGGGCCAGAGCGTATGGATTCTGAGGAAAAGGCATTAAATATATGATAGCAGAGTTAAATTGAGTAATGTATCAACTCACAAGATGGTAATCTCCAAACCAATTTCGTCGCAAAGCCGGCGGATTGAAGCCAAATCCTCAAATGGAGCAATGTCGATTTCCACCCCGGCTAATTGACACACTCGTTAGCTGCTTGATTTACGCAATGAAAGAATAATCCCTTACTATAACCCTGAGCCTTTAGGCTGGGAAACCACTTAGCCCAGTTCTCATAATATACTCCAGCATCAACGCCCCAGACCGAGCGAAAGCGCAGCACAGAAGTCATATTGATCCTCGAACACTGAAATGAAGTCTTAGGACTTTGCAAACTTCGAAAATATTGACAAGCAATCTACGAAATCTCCGGCCAGAGGCTCCCCAATTTGTACTCCGCCTGGTCCTCGAGGCGACTCCATTATGATAGAGGCGAGCAAGATGAGGCAATCTCCAATTCCCATTGAATAGGGCAACGTTCTCCGCGTGCCGGCGCCAAGAATAACCCCGCGGGCGTAGAAGGGGAAATCTTCCCCGGTCGCAAGGTCCACTTTGGCTCGACGGGGTAATCTTGCCATGATCGGCGATAATTCAGCTCACGAAGCTTCTCCATCGCGGGGACTGACGGAATCCTGAACCCGATTTGGAATCGGGGACATAACCCCGAAGATACCATGTCGCACAACTCATATATCTCCCCGATCCCCGACCGCGAAACCCACATGTCAGATTTAATTTTTCGTTCTCAGCACAGCAAACCACCGTCGCCATGGCATCCACTATGAAAGCACTCAACTATCTCGGCCCTTACAAGGTGCGCGTGGAGGATGTCGAAAAGCCGAAGCTGGAACACCCCGATGACGTCATTGTCAAAGTCACCACGGTAGGCTTCCCTTTCAACGAGCGAAATCAATTATTATTGACACCGCTAGGCTGCCATCTGCGGATCCGACCTGCAGTGAGTATACAGGGGGGTGCAGTTGACGATGAGTGGTGGCATTGGACTCACAACTACACAGCATGTATGAAGGGCGCACGGCGGCAGAGCCCGGGATTACATTTGGTCGGTGGGCCCAAGATTATCGTAGAGCGTGGGAAATACTTACTAACATGTCGCAAGGCCATGAAAACATGGGTATCATCGAGGAACTGGGAGAGGGTGTCACACTGTTGAAAAAGGGGGACCGTGTTGTGATGCCATTCAACGTGGCTGATGGTCGGTGCCAGAATTGTGAACAGGGTTATACTGCCTTTTGCACAGGCGTTAACCCAGGGTTTGCTGGTGGTGCTTATGGTATAAATTAATCTTCCTTACTTCTACGAGTCGCTGGTTGCTGACGTTCTACAGGCTATGTTGCTATGGGTCCGTACCGAGGAGGTAATTGCGCCATGCCCAGTTAAGACATAAAATAATTGAAGTTAACCCAATTGAACCTCCAGGCCAGGCGCAATATATCCGGGTTCCATATGCCGATTTCAACGCGCTTCTACTGCCCCCTGGAACGGAACATGAGGCCGACTTTGTTCTACTCGCGGGTGAGTTCCGAGCATTTATTCTTGATCGCGACATTTTCTAACTGACTACCATAGATATCTTCCCAACAGGTATATTTCAATGTTAAACCTATCCCCCGAATAAGCTTTAAGATCTGATTTTGTCCTAGGTTGGCATGGAGTGGAAATCTCTGGCTTCAAATCTGGGGAAAGTATCGCGGTTTTCGGTGCGGGTCCTGTAGGCCTCATGGCCGCCTACTCTGCCTCCCTGCGCGGGGCATCTCGCGTGTTTGTCGTTGACCGAGTTCCGGAGCGCCTGGCAGCTGCTCAGAGAATTGGCTGCATTCCGATTGACTTCACCGCAGTGGACACTGTGGAGGAGATTATTCGTCTGAACGGGGGAATGGTCGACCGGTCTGTGGACGCGGTGGGTTACCAAGCTATAGACAAGAGCGGATCATCAGAGAAAGCCAACATTGTGCTTGAAAACATGATCAGTGTCACCCGAGCTTGTGGAGGCATGGGTATTCCAGGACTATATGTGCCTAGGTATGTACTCTTCCCAGCCAATGATGCCTGCAGAACACTAATGTAGGCCATAGTGACCCAGGGGCTTCTGATGAAGCCACCGCCAAGGGCGCCATCAGTCTCAGCTTTGGCAAGCTCTTTGAAAAGGTACAGATTCAGGTTCTAGTGTGGCCCAGTATGCATCTAACTTTCATAGGGTTTGTCGTTGGCCACTGGTCAATGCAATGTCAAGGCCTATAACCGATACCTGCGGGATATGATCGTCGCGGGCAAGGCCAAGCCAAGCTTTGTGATTTCCCATGAGATCGCGCTGGACGATGCTGAAATTGCCTATCACAAGTTCGACAAGAGAGAAGACGGGTACACCAAGGTCATCATCCATCCTAATGGGGGCTTTCTGTCCTCGAGTGGTCCTGTGCAGTCCAATTTGTAAATAGCTGGATGGAATGAAATGTGTATTTAGTTTAGTTTAGTTATATTTTACGGCCGCGGTTCACCGCCTAGGCACGTGACCCGCCATCCCCTGCTGGGGCAA